TAGTACCTTAAACCTGTAAACTAACCTCTTTCTTTTTCTTATGACTCGTTTAATTTCATCCTTTAACAAACTATGTAAATCTTTTGCATGATCCAGACGTGTCCTACTTCCCGACCCTAGATCCCTTAAATTTCAGAATTAAACTGTACTTCTTACAGGTCGACATTAACTATCCAACAGAGTGGCGTAACTATAAAACGAGCACGATAGTGTTTGCATCGTCTAGGAGACACGCATCGTTGCGCGACATTGCAAATCGTGCAAACCCCTGGGAATCGAAGAATAATTGAACAAAAAGTTCGCAAAACGAAACTGTCCGTAGAGAAAACCACTAAATGAACTTAATAATTGTGATTTTTGAAAACGCTGTCTTAGAAAAGAAAAAGGTAAAAAACTGAAAGAACATCGAAGGTAGGCTAGTTGTTGAAATCAACGACGAAAGCTGTCCACGATGACGAGACTGTGGTTTACAAGTGGCATGAAGAAATCAACCTAAGTAACGATGAGAGAATTTTCTCTTCCCGGATTGTTTCATTCTCTCCTCTGCTTGTAGTGTAGCCTGACTTTCTTGAGTTTGACATATACTACCACAAATTTGGTAGTAGAATGTAAAGTTTTGGTGTTTCTCGGTTCTGCGTGGTGAACTCGCACAGCGGGAAACATGTTTGTACATAAAGTATAATTCGATATTCCGTAATGTGACATGTAAAATTATCAATAAATGTAAAACACTTTAGGATATATACAAAACTACATTTGCCGCTTACTTTTTACGATATCGCGCTTGGAAAATTTGTTACTAATCCTTGAATAAGATCAAAAGACCGAGGTTTACGAAAAAAAAAACAATTTATACAAAAAACGAGCAAATTTCTTACATTCATCTTGTCGTTATATGGTTTCTTGGACACTACTCACATTTTACACGTTGCAAAATGTAATTTGAAGGCACTATTAGTAAACGAATGTGCGTAATCGTAAAAGATAACAAGTCAAAATCATGTTTGTGGGCTTGGTCGCAAGTAAAGAGAATAATGTCTACGTAAACTTACTCGATCTTTATTTATATTAACATTATTAACGCTAACGTTGTAATTGTTTTAATTTACAAAATTCACGAATTACAAGATGTGTGCATGTCAGCTATTAATTAAAAAATATTTCACAGTCACAAATACTATTAGTAGAAAAAAAGAATGAAAAGAGAACGAAACTTTCAAGTTCGCCATTGGAATTAATGACCAGTTTGTACACTATGTATTTTTCTGCTATTAAATTAAACTTACTGACGTTACTTTCGAGAAATACTTTTCCATATTTCAAATTAAGACTTGGTAACATAATGTACACGTTTTAATATTTTTTTCACAAGTATCACGCGAGGAAATAAATTTTTTTTTTACACCTACAAGCCACAGTTTAGAAAAGAAATTATAATTCATAACGTCTCTGAGACTCGAAGAAATGTATCCTTTGTGGTCCATCGCAATTTCTTCATGCGACTGAGTTCGATTTTAAATAATATATCTTCGAATAGAGATTCTACGCACGATTGTAAATGACTGTTCTGGCATATCACGATACATTCAGTTTACAAAATAATGCCAAAAGTACCAGACTACAAAGGATTCATTCTCATGAACATGGTAGAAAATGTGTATATACGTTACAATTACAATTTATAATCCAGAAATTTATGAAATACTTGGCGACTTGAATACACGACAAAAAATGTTTTCTTATTTACATTGTAGACTGGTATTTTCAATTACGCGCTTATGATATACAATATCCTTATCAATTAGACGTTACATCTGGATTACATAATTCGTTTGTAACATGTATAAACGTATCCTTGTAACTTTGATACGTCTACCATATTATCAAAAGGACTCGTACTTGAGAATGTTTCAACGGTGAGACTGTATCAATCAATTCATACGTCGTTTTCAGGTATCAAAGCAAATGATTAATGAAATTAATTCGAGATTTTTTATGTACGTATGTGGAAAATTAATCATTTGCCGCATCACGTTATCCTACAAGTTTTAGAACGTATATGAATTAAAACAAGCTTCTGTACAAATGTTTGTTAAATCGTCGCTTTTTAATATCTTATAGGAACCTGTAAAGGATAGTGAATAGTAATTTAATCCTGAATCATACTAATCAAAATTTGAAGAGATGAAGACAAAATTGTTGACTTTCTTTAAAGTAAGATACTCGTGCATAAAAAGAGTTTAATGGTCACACAACTATCATTCGTCTTTGTTATAATTTACTCATATCATATTCACTCTGTTTCAATAAGTATCACTTGCTGATACATTAATCGACTTTGACGACGCTGTAAATTTTGCGCACGAACCAAAAGCAGGCGAAGAAACCGATCGAACCTGTTTAATAAATAAATAAGGTAATGTTTTGGTACTGAAATCTACATTTGTATGAAAAAAAGGATAAACATTTTACCTGTCAGAAGGAAGAATAAGTAAACCATTATGCAAGTATAGCCAAAATAGAGGAACGTAGACGTAGCGTCTTCTATGTCCAGCTTAGTCATGAAGAAATGTATACAGTAAACTAATAAATAAAAAGCAGTAAAGCCGGATGTCAGGAAACTACGCCACCACCAATGGTAATCCTGAAAAAAACAGTTCACGTTTATGCGCATTGAAAGATTATTTTCCACTGCTGTTTCAAACAGTAATTGATTTACCTCCGCGCAAAGATGGAAATAGCAAAGTAAAATCGTCGTTTCTGAACATGTGATAACGAGAATAACAAATACCAAGAAAAGAAATCCAAACATATAATATACTTGGCTCGACCTAAAAAAAAAGTTGATCTATGTTGAACAATTTAAATGCTACACATTATTATAGAAATACGTTTGGTAAGTGCCAAACATCGCGATCATGCTTCTTTTTCCTATTGGAAGGAGCTGAGCAATATCTTTGCGCCATTTTTATTTATAGTAAAATGTTTCTAAATTGGTTCATTCAGAATTAAATTTACTGCACCACATGATTTTTGATGAGGCATTTTTTGGCGTAGAATAATAATATCAGGATCGCATCGTATGGATCTCAAACGGTTAAGATAGTATCTTCACAGTATTATTATTTGAGAAAATAGTATGTGCTTACCATAGAGAATTAAGTATAAAAAATAATTGTATAAATATACACCCAAATGGTAAAACTCCACCCATTATAACACCGGGTATTGGTTGCGTATAAAAACTTTGTTCTGGTATTTGTCTGGGAATTTGATTGGTTCTTACGGGATGCTCCAAGGACTGAAATAAGATTCAAACATGGATAAAATGTTATGAAATGCAAATTAGGACTTATTTATTGCTTTGGAAAGAAACGTGTCACTTACCCTTTTTCTAAAGCCGAAATAAGCACCAACGAATGTCAGTGGAAGCGATACTCCGAACCAAAGAGCTAGAAGAGCGATAAGAGTACTAAATGGAACAGCGGCCGAACTTCCATTTGCCCAGAAAATCAAGTTCATTATAAAGAATAAGCTAAACACGATTCTGTGAAAAAAAAGGAAACAGACATTACGATGATATAATATAAAAATTATTATAGAACACTTAATTACTCATTATATCAGATAGATATTTTATATTACCCAGGACTCAACATGGATGTAAGCAATATGTTTGATTTCCATTTTTCACCACCGAAGCTTTTGTATATTCTAGCAGACGCATAACCGGCAATTATTCCGAGACAAACGTACAAGACCATGGCACAAGTCATTAATGCTCCTCTGTTAGCCGGAGACAGGAATCCCAAGCAAGCGAATGCTGTAAAAATCATAAAAAGTTTTAACCCGTTTCCTGGACAAATTGCAAACTTGAATCGTTAGATACAAGTGATAAAACTACCAAGTGTTACAAGAGTCATCCAAAATACTTGTACACCGGAACCAAATAAAACGGAAAGTAGCATTCCCTTGCGAGGAGGTCGAAATACATCACCGTGGACCAATTTCCAACCAAACTCTTCCTGTGCGTCTTCTCCTGATTCTATCTGAAAACATGCTTGGGTTATTACAATATAGTCGTAGTTGAATTATGCTTTTTCAAGTAAAATCAAAGGATTAATCATTTCTTCTTTCTGAATTATCAAAACAAAGTTACTATGCTAATTTGGTTTATGCCAGTATATTCTTTTATAAGAACACTATAATTATGTGTAGCTATTGCTTAACTAATGAATATATTTTTTTCATTTTTTTTACCTGATTATATCTTGCAATATCTTTGTGTAATGTCCGAAGCATTATCATCGCCACCATACCAGACAGGAATAAAACAATTATCAATGAATTAAGTATACTGAACCACTGAATATTTGTATGTGGCATAGACTCCAAAATGTAATCCCATCTGGATGACCATTTAATCGTTCTATTTTCCTACAATTGAAATTGAGAATGTTATTCGCGTCGAATAAAAATCAGTAAGTTTACATTATTGTATAGAAGCTTACATTGAATGTAATGGAATATGTGTAGGTGACAGCTAATTGTTGACCAGCAGGAAGTGGATCATACGGTATTTCTAAGGGTTGTTTACTTTCGCAATTAGGGACATTACCGTGCTTAATACTGCGAGGAACCACCTTAACAGCTATTAACAGTACAGAGTTAAATTGAGTAAAAGGTAATGTCAATAAATGTGAATTGTATAAACATAAAACTTTAAAGTTCTTACAAATGATTCGTCCGCCATTTTCTTTAAATGCAGATCCCCATTCTTCTTCAGCACCACTATGGTATGTAATTGTAAGGTCTACATGATTGAACAGGTAGTAGGTTTTTGGCTTGTTATAAGCCCCCTAAGGAAACAAAACCATGTTATGTTTAATGAATATTAATATATTTTCTAGCCAAGGAAAATAGAAATCTGAACTGAAAGCCAATATACACTTACTATAATGCTACAGGTATCCTGTTGTGATCTTGGTTCTCGAGAAAAGCACCCCATTGGAAATCCAGTGCTACAATATTGTCGTTCATCTTCTAATTGATAACACCAGGTAACTGGCATATTATCTGTGCAAAAAAATAAAAATTTTAATAACTCTTTATAATTCTTCAAAATATTGTAACTTATTTTCATTTTCAGGATCGTACCAACTATCCAATGATGTTGATAGTTCAGTCCCATTCCTTTTTTTAAAAATTCTAACTTTTTTTCTAATTCTTTATTTCCACCTTTGTATATTTTTGTACATGCTCGTACGCATGTTTCATTTTTTAAAAATTCTATCTACAAATATAAAGAAGTTGCGTATAATGTAACTTTTTAACTGACTATGTTTAAAATGTTATATATGAAGAATTAAGCCTTTTAATTAAAGGAAAAAGTCTTGCATGCATACCTTATAAGGAGAAGGTCTTATACGTTCTCCAAAAACAACCTGTCCTAAATTTTCAACAGGGCTTTGACTTTCTTCAGAAGGACAAAAATCAAAGCTAAAAGAAATTTGTTAAGTTTATTTTAAGTTCCATAAATCTGAAGAAGATCGTAAAGGCATTTTTAAAATAATATAAAAAAACTTACTGATAATATTCGTATGGAATTACATATTTCTCTGTGTTTAAGCGATTTACATACAGCTTAACGTCTTTCTGAAAAGAAATAATAATGTTTAATAAAAACAAGAAAATTGTGGTACAGAAATTATCATGACAAAAAACACTTAAAGTAAACTTCAAAAATATCAGTAAAAGTTACAAACATAAAATACATATAGAATTTCTATTAAACCTTTCACAGTCCAATTTTAATCTCGTGATTGACATATGACAAAGAACCATGTCAAAATGTATTCGGGACAGATTCATAAGTAATATAAGTAATGGTAAAACAAATACAATTTTAATCAATACTTCTTTATTGTTGACAAGGGCTGATAAAAAAATTGAAAATAATTTTATAAAAGGATAATAAAAGAGAAAGAAAATAAATTAGAAAAACTAAAAGGACCATAACCATTTGTAACAAGGTTTCATTAATAATACGTGATACGCACTTTGCACGTTTCTGAAACATCTTCAGCCTTACAATAATTGACAGGCGCTAAGCCTGGCAAATAAAAGGCCCAGCTACATTGAAGTGTGCACAACACATATAATAACCACACTAAACTTATTCTTGCCATTGTATTACTATTGTTCATTTTTATTATATTTCCCTAACATCAAAAACATCGGACACTACACTGCCATGATACACGTCATCGATAAACGACATTACACACAGATTGCCAAGCAACTTCTCCTTGCGGCAGTTTTGCACACTCTGATACTAGCGCAGTCTTTTTATGAATTGGATTTTCATTATTATGAATTATTATTCAAAATTAATTAAAATAATTCTGAAATTTTTATTATACCAGTACTTAAATACGCCAATCACACTTTCTAAATGTTTTAATAATTTTCAATTGTTTCGCGTGATTTTTAATGTTTAAACGAATACTTTCTCTTTCTTCTTTGCTATATAATTTTAGTGTTTATATTAATAATTAAGCAAACTGCCAATAAATTTGTAAATTTATGGATATATTTTATAAATAAAATATGAGACCTTTGTTTGAAATGAGTTGTCAAAGATATACAATTTTGACATGTGCAATATAGAGCACGTATTCAATAAAATTCGATATATTATATGTAGTTTCATTAAGAATTCAATATTATTACCAATCTGTAAGTGAAATAATAAATTATGCACAACAGACAAATATAACTGTTGATTATTAAAGTTTGTGTTTTTTTAAATTTTTCTATTTTGTTCTCATATTGTTTTTTACTTTAAGTTTTCTTTGGATAAATGATTTTTATTATATAAGTCACAATCGTTGATACTATAATAGAACATTTTTTTAATAATTAATAATAAGTTTATATAAAGACCTGTATAAATTTCTAAAGAAAGAAAAAAAAGATAAATAAATATATCTCTATCCCACAGACTGATCTTTTCCGATGCACTTCTTTATTTTTTCGCGATCTCACTAAGTGATAGAAAATTATAAACTGTAACTTAATTATACTGTTTAGTACTTGAATATTTTTGTTTGTTTCTAAATTTTTTCATTTTCTATCAGTTCTTTGCTTACGAAATATGTGATTAGTTAAAGTATAATAAAGGTAAACTTTTAACAAACATTTTGGAAACTTTTAACATTGTTTTACACTCTGTAAAGTTCTTGATAAAATATGCATATATATCCCCATTCAATTCTAACCTAATAAATTGCTTACTAGAAACGTGATTACATAAAAATCCATAATCTAACGTTAGTGTTCAATTTTTTCATTCTCAATATACTATTTAGAAGCAAGTGTTAATGTATATGATTGGGTATATACTGTTGTATCGTATTTAATCATCGATTTTTCAATATAAATTATTTCCTAAAAATTATAAATTAAATAGTCAGATGTGATAAAATAACATTTTATGCTATACTTTCAAGAATTTCAGAAATATATTACAAATATACAAATCAAAGAACTACCTAATTATTGTATTTACATACTGGTAATATTTACTTAATTATGGAAAGATTAATGTAAAATAAATTCTAGAAAGATCACTTCTCTGTTGCGAAAAATATAAAAATTGATTAAAAAATTAATATATTAAAAATTTTGTAAAAATTTATTAAACTTTATTAAATTCTATTATTTATCTATTAAAACTTTGCACTATAACCGCAATTGTGGGTAGGCAAAGGAAAAGCAAGGTAGTTCCAAGTATAAAATGAGGTCAAAATTTTTGTTTAACAATCATTACAAAGAGAATAGGCTTAAAAATCTTACATCTAAACGTAAAAAGTGTTTAACAATTATTTCACTCGCAGGCCATCGGACAACAAATTCTGCATTCTGCCGCTCGGTCGATCATTCATGCTTTTATTAAATAAAATAATGAACCAGCTATTTTAAAGTGACGTATGCTCTGTTTTTTATTATCTTAAAAACCAGAAATCTATTTATTCGTATTTTTTTTAGGAATGTTTCGCATAACACGAGGCATCAGAAATATTACGAAGCCGACATACCAATAATTTGAATCATTTTTGTGCTGTCGTAATAATTGTTATAATTCTTTGGAGTCACAGACTCTGTATTTTTTATTTCTACACCTTATGGTATCGCATAAAAATAATAAATATTTCTTGAAATATTCAATACCGTACGATAGGCAAACGATACAACGCATGTACGATCTCGCGATGTTGATGTTCATAATGTTCATAATGAATATCGTTGAAAAAGTAGCCCTTTCGACTCTTTGTTACAGTTTATTCAGTTTAATATTGTTCATTTTCCGAGCAATCAGATGAAGTTTTAATCTATCTCGAACATCTAGCTCGTATTATGCAACAGTAATTCCAGCTGTTTGGAGGTAGGTTCTTAGATGATTCGCATTAGGTTCCGGAATTTGACCGAGAAGATTAGGCAATTGTCCTGGCGATAATCTTCCTAATCCTTGCGCTAAGTGTAATCGCACATCGCCGATAGCTACGATGATTAAAATACATGTCGAATAAAACATAATCGACTTTCTAAGTGTACAGAAATGAAAGAATGCTTGCAACAGTACCTTCTAACGGATCCTTTGACGGATTTTTTGCACATATAAGTTGATTGTATCCTACTTGATATCCAAGCACATCCTCAGTTTCTGGGAAGATATTTTCTTCGGGTACTATGCTTTGGTCCTGTGGAAGTTCAAAAAATTCCACTAATGCCGCTAATATGCGCGGATAATACGTACTATATGGACTTTCTAGCATCGCCGGGCAGTCAATTAATAAATTTGAAATTCCGACTGCCGTTACTTTACGTTCGATATCACCCGATATCTTCTGCATATCTATTATTAGCACGCGTTCCACGACCATACCGAACATCCTGGCAAGACAATTATTATGTGATTAGATTCTGTTGGGAAAATGTAATGAATATTGTAATCAGTAAGTATTATGAATTTTATGCATTTATCGAATCATGGTTTTTTAAAACTGAAGTAACTGAATTCATATTTGATTTTGATTATTGTAACTTAAACCATCGAATAAGCTGGTATGAATGCATAAATATAATAATGAATATTAAAACATACTGAGGTTGGATTTGATCGATGATTGTAATTAAATTATTTGCACCGTATCTGATGATATAATATGCGAAAAACACAATCAGACCCTTCACGAATTTAGTTGTCTTGGACGACGAAAGTCTTTGGAAAAATAATACAAAAATTTGTTTCATGTATGGTTCCAGCACATTGCTAAAAGAAATTACATTCATTTAAAAAATTTGATAAAAAATCATCGTATATCTTATTATTCTAGGAAAAGACTTACGGAGCGAAGTGTTCTATAATACTCTGCAATAGTAAAAATCCTTCTTGATCATTAACTTTAGAAGCAATCAGCTTCTGAAATACTCCTAACAAACCGCTCATCTTTTCTTGTGCAACAATATGATGTGCTCCACGGCTAATGAATGCTCTTAATAATCGATTCAGAGGATGTATATTTGCTTGACGTTCGAATAACACAGACGATAAAAGGCAAGGAAACAGAGCCAGGTATGGCTCTGGTACGTCCGGAGTTGTTCGTAATTCCAAAAGTAAGGCCAAAATTTGAAAAACGTACGGTATAAATTCTAAAATAGTTTTCAGTACATAATTACAAGTCAAGTTTCAAATGGAAGTTCCATAAAATAACTTACCTAAAACATCTTGCTGCAAAATTCCTTGAAAGATGGGGAATAACGCCTCCTCGAATGAGGAAACCGCTACTGGATTTGTTTTGCAAACAATTCTGTAAATTATATTAAAAATATTTGAACTTTCTATTTAAAATTTACTTTGTTCAATTTTTTATCAAATTTTTAGCAATTATCTTACTTAATAGACAGTCCAAAAATTTCGAAAAGATAATGATTGAAATTAGGACGACTTGGGTTTCTTGACACAACAGCCAATTTTTCGGTGAGTTTCGGCAAGAGATCTGCCAAAAATGGCACAACGACCTCTTGCAGTGTACCGAAGCATCTCATAATGGCTTTCATTACATATTCATTCTCTTCTGAACCAGGCATATTTAAACACGCAAACAGATTTGTTAATAGATCCGTTGCAAAAGATGATAGATCATTTCCTTTAACTCTGTAAATCAATTATTAAATTGAGTGAAAAATACATATCAATATCAACGTATACAATATTAATTTCCTTACAGAGGTAAATTATCAGGCCCTTTTAACGCAAGTATTTTCTCAATTGTACAAGCAGCATACGTGTGAACAACGATATTTGTAGCGGTCAAATGTCTGATTAATTGTGGTAAACTACCAACAATCATTTCCCTCGGTAATATTGATCTGAAGGTCATTATAAATTTTATTGCATCCGCTTTAAGTACTGGAAACTCGCTTACTGAAATCAATCAAATAAAAATGAATGTTTAAAAATACTCATATACAATATTTGTAAATACTTGATAATAATCTTTCGTACCATTTGGTTTAAGCAATTCTGGTTCAATGTGTTGCATTGCAAATTGTGGTAATGAAACAAGTTCACTGCTTTGTGTCACACCATGCTTCTGCGTTTGAGCTTTACTTACACTGCTGGTTACTAAATAAATTGCAGCATCTTTGCTTCGCCAATTTTCAGCTGGCTTAGCTGCATAATTTTGCAGCATAACCTAAAGACGAAAAATAATAAACGGAATTACATAAGTATACAGTAAGTGAACATACAAAGTGATGAATTCGATATCTCGATTTCAACATTACCTGTATGTATGCGCCAAAAATTTCCATTATTTTAGCTTCGAAATATTTGGAAAGTACTTTAACTAAATCACACGCAGCCCTTCTTCTTGTATCTACATCACTGCCTTCAATATCTCGTCTAATGTATTCCTCTGGATTATCTTCAAACAACTCATTATCCGATTCTATTAAATAGCAAGTATTTTTTTACTATAAATCAATCACATTTAATCACTGGAAGAATTTAAAACACATGTTTTAAATATACTAAATTTCGTAATTACCTCTAAATTCCATATTTGGTATTATAACTTTTTCACAAATACTACTCAGAGTAGTTGGGTCTTCAAATAAATGTCTGTATTGTGCACGATCTGCCACTGTTGCTAAGAATTGCAAAGCATTTGAAACTAACTGCAAAAAGATACAAAATCTTATTAGAATTAGTACCAAATTTTATAAGTACATAGACACTTATTTTAAGCTCACATACAGCATCATATTTTGGTTGCTGTCCTGTGGATGTTAGCAAATTCCACACAGCGGTTACAAATTCTGGTAAATATGGTTGAAACTCTTCGTCATATTTTTGTGCATAAAGACCAATATTATCACAAACTTGTGACTTTAATTGTTCAATTACTCCAGCGTCTTCTTCATCCTGAAAGTATATTAATGATTATAACACAAATTTATCATCACCAAGCGAAAGGTAATAATAAATTTATAAATAATAGTACTGCAGACTGTAAGGCAGGAACATTGGTATTTAATAAAGTATGAAAATTCTTCATCCAAATAGCCATGTTATCTTCAAAAAATTCTGGTAAATCCTAAAAATAAAGTGCATGTAGTTTGCATGTACATCAGAGATTTATTACTGTTTATTATTAATTTGTTCTGTCTCTTGCTTACTTGGAAATTAAGAGAATAAAACACTTTCGACAGAATTACTAATGAACTATATACCACTTTTAATGCATCTACATTATGCGCATGAACTTCTGTTAAATTCATTGTAGCCTATAACAGAATATTACAAATTTAGAAAAAGTATATTTTCTTTTTATGCTGAATATTAAATAATAAAATACTTACAACAAATAAATCAGTTAAGGGTTTAGCAAATTGATCCAGCACAAACTTTATTTCAGTCCATAGACTTTGACTTTTAAATTCATATCTATATCTTTTAAATAAAGAATGTGCTGTGTGTAAAACACCATTAATAACGTGGAAATCTCCTGTATTAAACTTTTCAACCATTTGGTCTATAAGCTCTGGCCATTTTAGCGGAAAATCATATTTTCCAATAATAGAAACAGCATCAGATAATTGTTTCTGTATTGAATCAGGAGAATGCAACATTAAATTGACAATGAGTATTTTTATCGCATTCCTGTCTTGTGCATGTATACGATCTACAGAATCTTCTTCCTATACATAACAAAGTTAATTGCAATACATCCATTCTATAAATATCACATTAATAAATCATAAAAATATTTACCACTTTCCAATTACGTTTAACATAATTCTTGAAAGCAACTGCTCCAGCAATTCGAATAGTTAAGTTAATTTCAGACTTTTCTACTAAATGTAGAAGAAGTAGTGGGTAGTTTTGATTTACTTCAACAGATTCTAAAAACTTTTCAGCTAAAATGTTAAAGGAACATAATTATAAGATATTACGAATATAATTAACACGTATCGTTATTTAAAGGAATCTCAGTAAGAAAACACTAACAAGGTGTATCAACAAATTAAAGGACAAAATCGTGGAGATACAAAATGAAGTTTTTCAAAAATATTGTATTTATTAAATTGACTATAATGGAGGAACAGTTTAAACAATACAAGGAAATAAAATCTTTATAGAAATATTCTCATATTTAATAATAATTTTGTTTTAATGAACATTTAGGAAGGTTAACAAATGTTGGAATAACATTTATAAAACAATAGAGGTTATATTCACCTGGCCGTCTGACATTTACGTCCGGGCTAAGTGTATGTTGTAAATATTCACTAAGTGTGAGCAAATTGTCATCTGTGAGCTCCATATCGCTTTATCTTAAAACTACCGTGTCCCCTCAATTCGAAAAATATTAAATCTTTACAAAAGTACGTTTCACTATTACCGAACACCGGCTTCTGATAAATTCAATTTCCTAACCAACGACCATCGCCGGTTGGCGCTTTGTTCAACAGTTTACGCGGGAAAACTTTTCGTTGAAATAAAACTACAGAAATGACAGTTACATTTCTCATTGAAAGAAATTATTACGTTGTTTAATCAATAACAAATCAAAAGAAATTAACCTAATAGATTTTATCAAAATAAGAAAACAATGCTGTTTGGTTATTTTACTGTCTGTAAAGTTAACATCAGCGCTGAAAGGGGAATACAGATTAATTTATTTTCGAAAATACTATAATCTCGTACTTTTGCAGTTCAACTTGTCCTCCAATTTTTCCAATGTCTGTTGCGCAGCTTCAATTTTTTGTATTTTATTATTATTATAACTTATTCTGTATATAAAGTAACATATTATTAAAATAACGTCCAAAATACAAAAGAAGGGTTGGTAACTTCTAATCATTGTACTTACATTATATTATTCGACAAAGCAAACATTTCTAATGTTTTTTCTGTATGTCCGTCAGAAATGCAACTATCTAAGCCATGTTGTACTTCTAAATTTTCTACTTCCTTTATTAGCGTTGGTAGTCCGCAATAAATTTTTTCGCACTGATGCTTGTACCATTCAATGTCCTTTGACAATTTTTCTGAAGACTAAACATTGTAAATGTAAGACTTTTTTATATTGCCAATAAATTATGTAAATCGAACGGAATGTCCTAAATGTATCTGCAATCGAACTTACATATTTCGTATATGCGCATAGAAAATTTTCCGTGTAATTAGAACACTTTTTCCCAAAATCAGCACTAGAAAAATTACCGAATTATCGAATCATAAATCATCGCTTAAACCAATAATATTTATACAAACTCACGCTTTCGTTAATTAATTCAAAGAAGCAGCAATGAAATAAACATACATATTCTCTATTGGAAAAATTGTTAGTTTAAATGTAAAATATATAATAAATATATAATAAACGCTATTAAATCTAACTAAAATGCTCATTGTCAACAATTGTTCTTTTAATGTGTACCCTATTTTTTGCGATATTAAATTTTTCAATTCTTGTTCCACATTATCCGTCATTCTCATCGTTTCGGAAATCGTTTTCCTCAGATGGTTCTCCCTTTTCTTTAATTCATTGTGCTTAACTTGTTTCGTCCAATTGCTTATTTGGAAAGTAGACAAATAAGATTCCCAGTCATCTCGGTTTTGCTTGTACGCACTGATCATATCATTCAACTCCGAAAGCTTTGAAAACATAGAATATAACGTTACATACACATTTTCATATACGATGAAAGAATAATGCGTACGTAAAATGATTACTTGTTCCATTAAAAAGTTTATTTTGTCTGTAGGATTCTGGACTTCTTCGTGTGGTGTTTCGACATTTTCCTCTGGTTCTGTGCTCATTATTTCTATTGTATTATCAATTTCTGACATGTTTTTCCAACAATTAAGTGTTTTAATACTTTTTGAATTTTTAAGCTGGTGCTTATAATGAGATAGTATAGTAAATGATATAAAAAGTGGACGTGTTGCGACCTCTGTCGTAAACTTAGCGAATCAATTCGTTAGAGGCATTTTTGTAGACATCAGAGAATCCTTGGAATGTCCTACCACAAATGAGATATATAATAGGTACAATTTGTTGCCGTTATATTATGTAACACACTCGTAGCAAAAACGAAGTATACAGCTAATCCGACTTCTGCTAACTAGCCTAAAATTTTGTATTATCGGTAACGTCGAGAGTGACACGAAAATAGTTCAGGGGTCCTGGGACCCCTAAGAGCGTGTGATAAAATTTTACATTGCATATTCTGTCTATCCTATACCTCGCCTGTGATGTTAATGAAAGCCTTTCTATTTCGAAAATGAAAGCAAATTGTAAACGTAAAATATAGTTGGTTTCTTCTAAAAACTAATATTATGTAAATGAAGATTTTATCAAACAATTGCACATAAACTTATCAATTGTTAATTTTACTTGAAAACAATGGAAAAACAACAAAAAAGAAATTTAGATATTTCATTTATATTTAATTGCGTGAATTGAAATTATTTCAGAAATACTGGGTTCACGGGGTCATCGGTTCAAATTTGTAGACAGGAAAACAGAAAAACAGATTCTAAAGAGTCGACTATTAGTTTGTAAGTTCCAGTCTCATCAGTGGGCGTTCACCGCTTTAATTTTACTATTTGATCATGTGTGTCACGCGGTATAGCTACTAAGGTGACGCCTTAAGCATGACGACCCTTTAAACAGCACGCAATGCTGGTAGTATTCGTTCCGAATATTAGGGCTGAAAGAGGATTTATAAAGTTCTCTATTCAGCAAAATTTTATTCAGATAATAAATAAAAGACAAGAATAAACAATGAAACATTATTCGAATAATTATTTATTTGTTATTTGAGGCATTCGTATCGATTTTTACACGTATTTTCATAAAGTTTATATCAGTATTTTTCGAATTTCTTTCCCTATACATCATTACATCATTCTTTCTATACTAATTTTTACAATTACTGTTCTTTTAAGTACTGAATTTTACATCTTACTATTCTTTGATAAATTAATGACCGATATTCGATGAATTGGAATAAATCTATGAGATAAGCAAAGATGGATTACTCGAGTAAGTAAATAAAATAAGTTCCTACGAATAACGAGTAATTTATCCATCTTAAGTAAAAGAAAAGCTTAGAATGTTTCTAACACTATAGAAACGATGAAAATCATGGTATTGTATGTACCAAACTTGTCAAACAATCGGGCAACGTTTCGTCGGGCAGCCATTAATTAAAACAACTGCGTCATCGGTAGAATGCTATTTACAAATACGAAACTATTTATCATTCCAAATACAAACTGTATGTAATTTCGAATTTTAATTCATTCTAGTCACGAATTATACGCGACGACTCTATGCGATATATAATGCCTCAAATATTATTCGAATCTGCCATAGGCACGCATTTCGCTTTTCCCACGGCACAGGTAACGATGAAACTTACATGTCTGTAAAAATGATTGTTTTTCGTTGAAATTCTAAACGTACCGCAGCTATCTAAAAGATTGACACCGGATCATCTAGAGTTCAGGTTAAAGTTTCACAGAAACTTATTATTACACCATGAATTATTATTCTTTTAATGACATTAATACTTAACTATTACCCTCCCACTCATTATTACGTGTTTTTAATGATATTAATATGGGACAGAAAAGAAACAAATTTACAAAGAATAAATAAGAAATCTATATTCGTTATCAGTACAATATTAAGAACATAAAATCAAGATTGTCAACACGCAACACTAAAAATGTGTATAAAATTCGATTATCCGATTGCACATAAGCATTCACAGGAGACGATTCGAAAGTGAGTGGGCATTGAGCGGACGAGGGTCAAACGACCTAAAGAACGAGGGAGTAAGAATCAATGAACAATCCTGCCAAGAGTTCCAATAGCATATGCATTTTCAAAAAATAATCATTTCGATCTCTCGCGTTTCTAAATTAACGCTTATCTTACAAATTCGAGTCAGTCAAATTATTCGTCCTTTACAACTCAAAGTCAGATATTTTGCTTTGTTATCGATATTTAATGCCTACAATAAACGTCGATTTTTAACGGATGTAGAATTCCTTTTAACCGTTTAAAAATGAAATATAACGTGGAATTGTAACTATTAAATCGTCAAGATGATTTTTTCGAAAAATAGACTTAAGCCACTTTGAAACTAAACTAAATATAGCTTATACAGATAAAGCTCCAGGTAAAATAGATATAAATAAGTATAAATAAATAAATATAAAATAAAAGTAGACAAATAATTATAAAATAAATATAAATAAATTAATATATAAAACAAATACAAAAGGCAGGTGATACTCGTGGCCGTCGCGTCGGCTGTGCCTTCGCAGAGTATGCGTGTAGTAGCGTGATTGACGTTTCGGTGAAGGTTTAAAACGCGTCGGCGGTGTTTCGTAGTCTTCGAGCAGTCGTCACTCGAACTGCGTCCACGCAGCTTTCCGTTGTTGCCCGCCGCCGCCTTAACGAATCTAACACAATCATAATCGGCCCGACTATTCGAAATCGTGCGCGAAACGAAAATCATAGTGTCAACCATTAGAAAACTCGAATCATGTTCTCCAATTCTCGTTCAACGCTTTTCGCCAAGGAAAGTTATTCCTAATTCACGGTGAGTTCCTGACAAGTTACGCTTCTTTTTTGCTTCGTTCGCTGGAAAACGCAAATTAATAACACTAGACAAATCGAAAGTTACGATTCGAAAGGTGAACGATATCCGCGCGGCGTATCTCTGCGACTCATTTCGACACCTCTCAACTTTTACTTGTTCGACCAAGCAAACGCGATTGTTCACATCTCAAATTCTTAATCATGTATAATAATATACTAGTTGTTACATTAATTATAATACAATTAAAAACTGTTCTCTCGCATACAACACTCGCGTACAAAATCGCGTGACAATAAGATTGCCCGGAAATAATATCATCGAAGGAGGAACGCGACAAGAAGAATATTTTCCGCGACGAACGTGGTATTGAATAAGACTTAAAACGCGTACGTCGATTTATCGCGTTGCTCGGTTTCCCGTGAATCTTCGCGATCTTAGTCACCGTCGGGTTTCATTGAAATCGTAGATAATCGAGCGCGCGATCACTCGTTGATAGCTTTATCGTTCGTTATCGGCGGAGAATCGAGTATCTTCGGTGTTTTACTAATGGGGACGAACGTTACAATTAAACGACAGTAAATGCGGCGAGCATCGAACCGTCCCGGTATTATTTAATAAATTCGAAAGCCGTTGAAAGTGATCGCCATTCTCGGAACGTTCCGTAACCCCGAGCTACGAATGCGACGCTCGTACACAGTAGAAAACAGGATGAGGTATTGATAACAAACCGCTAGCCGACATTCCTTTATCCTGTCGCGGGGACAGAATAAAATCATAATTCAACGATCTCATCGCTCGTCCGGGCGACAGCAACGTCGCACAGTGGGCGAGATCTCGGCTTTACTGGTCGAAAGTCTGTGATGTTCGAATGAATGAAAACAAGTTGATTTTCTAGTAATAATTTACCACTATTGAATATAAAGTATACTTTGTATTTTATCTAGTAGTTAGTGAACAGTAATTAGTAAATTATCTAGTAATAATCTACGAATAATGTTCTTAAACAATAATACAAATTGATAATTGCCTTATATAGGCTTGCTCCCTGTAATTAAGGACTATTTCTGTTACTAGCTTAGGACTATTTCTGTTACTAGCCGTCGAATGACCGGTAAATCCAAATTAAAAAATGCACCTATAGCTTTCCTTTCTCATTAAAAGCAAATATATGATTCGTTTCTTATTACCTAAAAGTTATTTTGTCCATTGTCTTCGTATTAAATCAATAATTACCAATATTCCTTTCGCAAAAATATGATCGGTGACTAAATTGCCGGTACGTTTAATGTTAAAAACTCCGAAAAATTGATTTTTGCCCACAGAAACATCGATGTTTTCCCAATGTGCGCCGTTTACGTAATTGATCCGGCGGTCTTGTAAAATCATCGAGTAGCATAGGAGAAACGGTGTATCGCGTCTTTTTAATTACGTAGCGCCGAAGGCCTACCGCCACAGGTTCACGAACGCACCCGGGATTATGTCATCGCTGCATTATTCGCGACTCTGTAACCCACTTCCACAAAAAGTGTTACACTGTTTTCCCTAAAAGAATAAAGAAGCCGAGGAGCTCGCTCCTTGTTCAGTTTTTTTTTGCTTTAGAGTTTCGATCATCGACTACATAGGCGCGCGGCTGAAACGCTAAGTTTTGAGCAAACAAATTGTTTGCTCTTGGGTGACGCGCGTGCTATTTGCCTTCCATAGGTGCAGATCCTCACCACAAAATGTGAATATCTTTTATATTGTTGCCTTCTTTACTCTGTTGATTCATAAATTTCAAAACAAACTAAATTGCCAGAAAATTTGTACGTCAAATAACTTGCTCGGTTAAAAATTTGTTTAAACAAGTTTAAGTATTCGTAACGTTACAGAAATATATATATATATCATTTTATTTGGAAAAATCTACAGAATCATTTTCTACGAGAAACATTACAGTTAAAATTCCTCAATCATTGAGCAAGATGGACACAAACGGTTTTCACATTCGTATTCAGTGCACGAAAATTGACAAGAGTCCCCCGCTGGTTATTGGAATACGAAATATGTTCAATGTAACAATGTTCTACAGTGCAGCGAACACGTTACCGCGTGTTCAATGCGTCAGAATGATCTATCGCCGAAAAGCAGTGAACATTTGTTTTCCATTTCGTTCTCGAAACGTTTTCATTCGACATTACCATTAAAACTACCGAGTAATCAAATCGTCTAATGCATATTTTCATATACAAGTTACAAAAGTGCATTTATTAATATTTCGCTGGATACTTTATAATGTGCAATGGCGAACCAAATTACCAAAAAATCCCTCAGAAACGCACGCGTATCTTTCTAAAAATTGTGAGGATAGAAATTCAAGGTGAGTCATTTTAATCCGTCTGATAGCTCTGGTGTTAATACTTTACCGAATATTGTCATAGAGAAAAAATGTTTTTTCTTTCATTTTTAATAAATCCTCAACTGTTAATCATTGATCTTCACAAGATCACTGAATAGCCGTCGCTAGATAAAGTGTTAATTGGCCGATATGGTCTAGATTGAAATTGAACGAGACGAGTTTGCCTGTCCATGGGGGTTTCAGATTACAGAAAAACGAAACGGTAAATTTTTGAAACGATCGGAACAAGGATGGAATGCGGAAGGAAGGGCGTGGTTAGAATTATTTGATGCGTCGTGTGGCGAAGGCACACCCTCGATATACCTACGCGTACCGTACTACCCACCGTACCATTTCGCAGTAATTTTCTCGTATTTCTCTTACCGTCAACTTGCGGTTTTCCTGTGTACGCGATCTATTGTACGGCGAGACCGAATTGAATCGCATACACGAACAGAATAGAAACGCATGAACGGAATAAAAATTCATGACAATTTTTACCACTTCTCTGAAGGAACGGCACTCGTCTTTCGTGGAAACGGTACTCATCCTTCGTAAAGCAGTAGCCAGTAGCTAGTGTAATTGTCACTAAAGTGCGATGATCTCAGTTCCATGGGGTCGGCTGGTTTCACAAATTAGGAAATATAATTCCATCGTTTTAATTAAATAATTACCTCGGCGTGGTACGGTGAATCAGACGGAAAGTATTCCTTTGCAGTGGCCATTCGCGTGGATACGAGTAGCGATTGAAGCTTTTAAAACTAACAACAAACATTCTTCACCGTTCTGTCATGATTTTCGTAGATCGCATTGCGATCGAAGCAATTATGATTAAAGGAAACGATCGTTGAATCTTGCGTACCTTTTTCCCCTTTCTTCGTGTAATTTTATTCTTATTTTATTATCGATTTTTTAATGTACATTTATTTTTATATTGTTTTTGATTTCCCCATTTTTTAATATCGTCTGTTTCCCTGTTATTTTTTATGGTGGTAATATATTTAACATTCTACCTACCGGAAGTCTATTAATAGCTCTCAATGATAGTACTCTATGAAAGGGGACACAATTCGCGATTTTTAAATAATAATCTTAATAGAACATTTTTGATTACATTATTAAGATTTACGAGTGAAGCGTTAACGTGTGCGTTAAGCATACTATTATTATTGTTATCTCCCATTCTAATTATGTGATTGTCTAGCATATATCTACAAGACTAGGTTTAATGTACGCATATCAATGGAATAGGATGATACCAATACTATCGCGACACTATCAATCTCTTTCATTTTACTACAGCCGAATAATGTAGCGGATAATGGAGGTAGCCGGATGATAAATAGATAAGTAGCACCGTTCACTGCTGATAACAAACGTCATCAAATTGACCGGGAAGCTGAGAGCCGACTCGACTCAATTCCTCGACGCTGGACCCTACCCTTATTCTCATACGCGATGTGCAATAACAATAAGGGTAAGTATGAAAAAACCATCAATAAATCATCAAATCAATAATAAATAAAAATAATAATACAAAAAGAAAAGAAAAGGTAATGAATCATTTAAGTAAATCCAACAACAGTAATGTTGTCTTCAGTATAATGTAATATCGAAATCCCATAATAAAAATATTTGTCATGAAATATTCGACTCGCCCGATCATATACCAAAATTACCTTTCATTGTTTAGAAAACAACAAATTAACATCACGGCACAGGCCGATCAAAGTAACAACGATCGGTGATGGTACTGTTGGTAAAACATGTATGCTCATTACATACACGACCAAGAAATTCCCATCGGAATACGTACCCACGGTGTAAGTGTTACATGGTTCAACGATTCATATATTTGATCTGTTAGAAATGATATTTGAAGACCATTCTGATACTCGTTCGACAGTGAAAGATTTACATTTATAATGTGTTTTCTTTAGTTTCGATAACTATGCTGGAAGCATACGCGTAGATGGACAAGAATACGATATGACTTTATGGGACACTGCCGGTCAAGAAGATTATGAGAGGATCAGACCTTTATCTTATCCAAACGTGAGAAGGCTGCTTTTTAAATGATCCTTTAATTATTACTTTACTTGAAGTTGATTTATCGTAATATTTTTGTTTTAGACTGACTGCTTCTTGATCTGCTTTTCAGTGAATTCTCGCAATTCTTTAGAGAATGTCGCGAACAAGTGGCATCCAGAAATTAAGCATCACTGTCCGAACACACCTATAGTTCTTGTCGGTAAATAGTTTTTATTATTATGCATTCCAACAAATGAGAATGTTCATTTTCTATATTTTGTGAATCTTTCAATCACTTAGCATGAAGTAATGTCAATGGTAAAACCAGTATACATTTATTACTTTATTGAAGACTGTTTTTATCTAAATATTGTAAAATTAAATAGGTACATATGGCTCCTGTAGTCATTAATTGAATTCCAAGCCAGGCGATTAAAGAATAATGTTTTTGGTTAAAAGATGATTTGAGTCAGTCGTACAATATTGCAAATTTATTATTTGTTTAATATTTTATTAACAGGTACTAAAGGAGACCTTAGAAATTCAGAAAATGTGGATACAGTTACGATAAAAGACTGCAAAAAAATGAAGAAAAAAGTAAAAGCCTATAAATATATTGAATGTTCTTCACTGAAATGTGAAAACCTGGAAGAAGTTTTTACAGAAGCCATAAGAGCAGTTCTCAAAAAGCCATCAAGTAAATTCTGCTGTACATTCTGAGAATTAAGTCAACATAAAATATTTATATCTAATTATTAGGATAGAAGCAGGCATTGAATCAGAATAATTTTTTACTTAGAAAATGTATACATTGTTCCAAAGACTATGCTTTTTAAGTATTTTTACTAATGTATATTACAATAAAAGTTAATAAAAAAAATATATTAGTGTCATTAATAATATTTATTTAAAAAACATTTTATCTTAATAAAGTATTTATTTAAATCTGACTAAAATGAAAATTAATATCTTTAATTCCCTGATATCTTTAATATTCCTGATTCTTAAAAAAATAATCTTCCTAATATTATCAATTCATAGTTATTATCATATGTACATATATAGTTCTTAAAATTAAAGCCTAAATATTGTAATTTATAATTTTAAATGCAATTAACCAAATATTATTATAATTTATTTATACATACAACATTGTGTATAGGAACACGGTCACAATTCAAATTTCAACGTCCAAAGCCTCCATCAGAAATAGGTGTTACTTTTTGTTGTATAATTTTACCATATCCCCCTCTTCCACTATCAAAGTCTGATCTATATTCATCTCTTACCTACAAAAACATTATGTTCATTGTTTTATCATAGTATTGTTCTGTTATATAAAATAATATTATATGATATGTATACATATATGTATATAAATAAATACTTGTCCTCCAGTTTTTCCTCTTCCATATTGTCTACCTTCAATGAAACCAGCATCCCAATCTGTTCTAATTATTCTGTCATCCAAACGTGTACCATTAATGTATCGCATGCAACTTTCAGCATCGGCCCTTTGATAATATTCAACAAAGCAGAACCCACATGGTGTCTTTTTATATTTGTCTAAACCCATTATGATTCGCCTAATATCACCACATTTTGAAAATAATTCATATATTTGCTCTTCTGTCGTGTAAAATGATAAATTTCCGACATACAAAGTTGTAGAATTCCTTAAAAGCCTATCTTGTTCTGCTCTTGAGCCCTAAAACAAAATTAAATATTTATAATTATATACAAAACTTAATAATCTAACAACTGTATCCATAAGTTAAATAATAACTGAAATTTCAAAGCTTCGATACGCTGCAGAAATAAATTTAAAATGTTCAGAAACCACAATACACAACACGTCAAAATACATCACACAACAAACCTTAAAATGTTGATCACGATATGAACTTAATTCAACTGAAGGTGAAGTTGAAGAATTTGCTTTTACTGCTGCTGCCATATTAATATACGATTACATTAATTTTCTTATTCTTAAAATGGAAAAATAATTCTATACATTCGAATCCTTCTTCTAACAATTATTACATCAGTATCACGATTATCACTTTACACATGAAATGTTCATACAGGACAAAAGCGCCACATTCAGGCGAAAAGGAGAAATATATGATGCGTCAAAAACCTATCAAATCGTTTTAAAATGTCAAAATAAAAAATATGTTTTCAACTTTTTCATAGTTCTTGAAACACTTTTATTGGATAAATCATAAAATTATTATACGCTTTCAAAACTCTATTTCAGATATTCTATAACCCCTTACTTAAATGATACTTCAATTACGATCGTCATCACGAAATTATGGTAAATATACAAACTTTGCCTTAACAGCAATGGATTTTAAACTGTAAATTGCTTTGGATTTAATTAAATTATAAGAATTAAGATATCTTATATTTCAATATAAATATTTTTGATATGAAGAACAGCAAATTACAAGATTCTACATCAAATGAACTAAGAATGTCTAATTCACAAAAAGCGTATTCTGCTTCTGGCACTAAAAAAAAATGTTACAAATTATTTTTTAGTTGCTTTAAAATCGGTTGTGATGAAGAATCTCAGGAAAATTCTTGTAATGGTAAACTTCAAGAATATGATTATCTTGTTGAAAAACTTCTTGTGAAACGTGTACCTTTTATCTCCTTTGAATTACCAAAAGATACATTAGAATCTGATCTTAACAAAAAAACCGAAAAATTATTAACAACAGTAGAAGGGAACACTATATTCCCTAATGGTTCAGAAGCACAATCAATAGTATATTATTGTGATAAATTAGATCAGAATATACCTATAAAGGTTCCTAATAAATATCTGTATTTTGGTACAGATATAAACACATTATACGAGGGAAATGAAACAAACATGTTAACTGTTAATTACAATGCTAAAATGAAAGAAATAATGAATACTTTGAGTAGCTTACATCCAGATTTAAAAGAATATGAGAAACTACCTAGTGACCAATGTCCTTTGAATGTACCCAAGAACAAAACAATATTTAATCCAAATTCACTGAATGTAAAGGATAATGTTCAGGAACATATAAAATTACTAGTTAATAACGAATTACAACATAATTGGAAAACATTTGCAAATGAATATAAAGTTCTGACTGAAAAGACAGCAAGCATTGATCCATCAAATATAAAATTAAGATGGAAAGTTATTATAAAACAATATAAATCTAAAACATCATGAAAATTCATAATTATATTTCCTACTATCTTATCATTTATGATCTTGGAACTTATTTTAGAGTTAAGATTTATATTTTGAACTTTTTGATAATTGTACTTAATTTGAAAGATATTTACAAATGTGTATTATATAAAACTTATATATAAAATAGTTTGTTGTAATAACCCGACAAATTCCTTTTATTCCTTAATTTTCGATTTTTAATGATTGAAGTAAATTAATGATTCTTTATATTAGAAAAAGTCCAATAGAAACTGAAGGAAATCTAAATTCTTATAGTTCATTAAAATTGTGAACTTCCGGATAGTTATCAGTTTGCTTTAATATAGTTATTTAAATATAAATATAAATACAAACATAAATTAAAGATCGACCTTTTGGTTTGAAGATCTTCAGATAGATAAAGTTACTTTAAAACGTACCTTTAACTGGTAATGTTTCCGTTGAAAAAGAACATATATTTAGCAATGCCATCTATTCAGACAGAGAGGTTATGTTACTGAAGCTGGCGGTCGAATCTATTGAAACCGACAAGCGATTATTTTCATCGTAACTGTGCACAATATAATTATCAAATAACTTGTTTTTGATTTTTACGTGTCAAAAAGCAGGCAGCCAAAATGGTAAATAAAACGCAGCAATGTATAAAATTTTTTAATTCGTTTAAAGAATAGTTATTATAACCTTATAAATTGAATTTTCTTTACAGACGATCGGCAAAAACAATAAGATGCTGCAACATATTAATTACAGAGTTAGAATTATTCTCCAAGATTCTAGAACATTCATAGGCACGTTCAAAGCTTTCGATAAACATATGAACCTTATACTTGGAGATTGTGAAGAATTTCGTAAAATTAAACCAAAAAATACGAAGCAACCAGAAAGAGAAGATAAACGTGTATTAGGCTTTGTACTCTTAAGGGGAGAAAATATTGTTTCTTTAACGGTAGAAGGCCCTCCACCTCCAGAAGAAGGCTTACCTAGGGTACCTATTCCTGGAGCTGCAGCAGGACCTGGTATGGGTCGAGCAGCTGGACGTGGTATGCCTGCAAATGTTGCTGGAGTACCTACGGGGTTGCAAGGACCTGTCAGAGGTGTCGGTGGCCCATCACAGCAGATTATGACACCGGGAGGCAGAGGTCAAGTTTCTGCACCACCACAGATGCACCCCGGTGGTCCTCCACGTATGCCAGTTGGAGGTCCTCCACCTGGGATGATGGGTCCACCTCCAGGAATGATGGGTAATTATTTAAATTTTATAATATCTTTTTTCTTCAATTTTTGAAGAAAGCTGTAATGTTTTCATTGAATTGTGCGTAGGTATGCCACCAGGAATGCCACCCATGGGACGCGGGGGACCACCAATGGGGCCTCCAGGAATGAGAGGACCACCTCCTGGCATGATGAGAGGTGGACCACCACCTCGACCTTATTAAAATTATCTAAAATGTATAATTGTGTTTCCTGATAATAAAAATCTCTTTTACAATGGAAATATTTCTCTCTGGCATGCATAGTTGAATTTTGTAAAGTAAAATATGACATAAAGTGACATTAATATAATAATAATAATGTATCAGAATTCGTCTCTAATAGAATTACTGTAATAAGTGGTAATAACATAGCTATATGTATGCACATAAATGACAAACTTTAATGCCATTATTATTTTTAATTTATAATTTAACTATTTTTAGTAATTATTTACAAACAGTAAAAACAAGAGCAACTATTATTACATATACATCTTTGTTCTGTATTTCAGTTATTCCATTGAAAACTTTTTTGACATTAGATACGAACTGTGGTTACATTTACTCTGAACTCTTAATGAATTCTTTAGAGTATCTATAACTCTCTTCAACATATTTTGAATAAATTTAATATATGTAACCGAATAAACGCCGCTGTTAACAATGGAATTGCTGATTCATAAAGTTTTATACAGAAACTATTATTCTCTTGAGCAGTTTGAATAGGCAGTTATTATCATTTAGAAGACTGTCATGGTTCCTTCTCTTACATCTATGTACTATCGATAAAAAACGAAAATTGATTCTCCTTGTTTAAAATATACGTGTATGTACATGTTAGTATTTAAGTACTTCTCAGTTTCAGTTAATGTACTGGAGATTAACTCAAAAACTTAACTCAAAAACTGAATAGAAGAAATGCAACTATTCAAGAATTTGCAAAACTCAATTGTAGTTCATAAAGATATAAATGTTATTATTCTATTTGGCTTTTGTAATGTACTATTTACATCATACGTATATTTACAGCACGTGAACAATATAAAGCGTGAGCAAGTATCAGAAACGTAGAAACAAATTTTTTACTTAGCACTGTAAATATATTACAAATTTGGCACATGCCAGATGTAAAACGATCAGTCATATAGAATTACAATTTTTCAAGCAGGTCATTGCACAATTCTTAGATTAATGTACTATTCACTTTGTAAAGTATTGATTTAGTAAATAATAAACTTATTTATTTGTTTGAAAAGATTAATGACTAAGAATTAAAAACTTAGACACGTATGTATTACACACATTATGAAATACATCCAGTCTTTTACTGTTAAATTTAGTATCTATATGAATGTAATGAGACGTTACATACAGATTTTTATTATAAATTATTTTAATCATCAATTTTAATATACTATTCCTCATTGAGTATTGAATGTTCTGAAAATAAATAGCTACCATCACTTGCGCAACGTATACACTGAATAAAAGTGTAGAAAGATTTGTAAATAAAATATATTTACGAAATAAGGTATTGGAACTGTAGTTGTTTAAAATAATTGAAGTGGATAGTAAATTATCAGTTATAAATTTACAAAAAATAATTTATAAAAATTTCAAAGCAATGATAAAAGTTAGTTGTTCGTATTATATGTACTTCTTAACATAACAATTTCATAATATTGTTTGATTATTTCAAACTGACCTGTGTTTCTCATCTCTAACAGAAGTAATTACAGCATCGGTTTTTACAATTATTTCTTTATCCTGTACATGTGAATCACTGTTACTTGGTTCTTTCGAAACACGGGCGTGCGCATTTTGTATCACAGTCTTAGATTCTGAGGTAAGAACATTAGTTGATTCAAATAGGTGAGTCAGGGCTTTATTCTTCTCCAGCACTTCTTGCCGAAGATTAAACATAATAGTGTTACCAGACTGAAAAATGAAATATGCATTTTCAATCATTCTCATAATATTTATATATTTATATGCATCAAACAGTTATTACTTTTGCATTAGGTGCTATAGATTCCGTTTGAGACGAATTTGTTGTTGATAACATAGTTACTGATTGATCTCCATTGTTCAATGTAATATGGCGCGGTAAAACATTAATAGAAGCATTATGTTGATTTGTGACACATAAATTTTTGCCACCCATTATTACTTTCCCTAGTACTTCCTAAAATAAATAAATATATTTAAATATCATGTTGAAATTAAATAATAAGAAAATTATAGTTATTAGATGGGTTAAATAATGTCAATATACCTTGCCCGCATGAGAAAGCGTTACACCTTTGGTTTGACCCTTTTGTATAACAATCACATTTGTTTTAGATGCTAATTTTGTATTAGGATGAGATATATTTACAGTTTTATTAGAATTTAGCGTAACACCCTAAAACATTATAAACAAATTGTTCCTAATCTCTATGTTGCATTTATCTTATTTTTATTATAAGTTGTTAGTCATTTCAAATATTTAAAATTTAATATCTTACCATTTTGGCAGCGATTTGATTATTGAGCGTCGTAGGTAATTTTTTACAGGTTACTGTTGTTGTTGTAGTTGTTGTTGTCGTTTGTTTAAGCTGAGGTGGTCCTGGTCCATTTGACACAGTCGTTCCAGGACATACCGATATTAGTCGATGTGAATTATCTAAGAAGACAATTTAAGAATGAAATTCGTATTGTGCCAACATTCGTATTTTTAATAAATTACTTTACGTTTTAGTAATATTGATAATTACTTGTTGTAATAGTTTTAGTTATCGGAGGTGTTGCATTAGAATGTATCATAGGTATAATACGTTTTGTGCTGCTGGCAGTTACATTTGAATTTTCAGAGTCTACTGATTTTTGTGAACTACTTATACTATTTTGCGTTGGTGTATCTTGAGTTTCACATTGCAGATTATTTCCTGATGTACATGGTACATTGCTAGACCTCAAAATTGCTGACCCAATTTTCGTATTAAGTTTACTTTGCGTCGTAATAATTTTTCCCTTCGTCTTAGCAATACTCGTTGTATCCACAGGGATAATAGTGTTTGTAAGATTACTAGGTGACACAGCTATATGATTGATAACATTTTCTTGTACCACCGTTTTAGAATCTAGATCTGAGATTCAGAAGATTTAATTTTAATAAAATATATACTATGAATCCACTAAAATAAATATTAAAATAAAATATGTGTTAACCTGAATCATTTTCTCCACAATTAATATTAAGTGGTATTATCGTAAAATTTTGGTGTTGTAGTGAATTTGTTGGCACTCTGGATAACTGAATGGTATTTTCAAGTGACCCTTTTGAAGCAGTACCATGATTTAACGTTCCTATCGAATTTGCTGACACTACCAGAATCTGAACAAAATTTTACTAATTAATCCTTTTGTTGAGAAAAAGACTTGATTACATAAATTCAATGTATTCATAGTACTTTATTCGGTAATGGTGTTGGAAGGGGAGAAGTAGGTTTACGTTTTTCCAACATAGCACATTTTTCGTTTGTATCCGAATTCTTGTTCTGGTTATTGAAATTCGCTTTTTTACTTTGTTCAGAAATCTATAACATTTAAGATGTGGATGAATTAAAAGAATTAATTAAACTTCAATATACGCTAAAGACATACACAAATTTACCTCATCTGTAATATTTTCTTCATTCAATTTTTCTTTCACAGGTGAAAGTTCGTTATCACCAAGTATCTTCTCTTCCACTTTCACTTTCACAGGAGATTCACTTCTAATATCTATTGAAATATACAAGTAGAGAATATATGTTTATGTAGAATGATACATAAAAGGAAAGCTAAATCATCAAATTTCTTAACTTACAGCTCTATAACCATATGCTATTTTACACAGATTAAAAGCACACATTTACTAAAATAGATAATAGTTTTCCTTAAAACCTTTTGCATCCTCCGTTTTTTCACGTATAGGAAGATTCCTTTTGTTTGCAGCTACTGTTGCAATAGACAAGCTATTTGCTAATGTTGTGAAAGCAGACCTTGCCTTTAATCGTGGCAAAAGGGGAATAACACGGCGACCTTCAATAGTCCAATCTGTACCAGTGTTTGGGCCACTTAATCTACATCATCAATATATGCATTAATATTGATATACAGAATCTAATGGATTTAATTATAAAATATATACAATATAGCAAATATTATTCTTAAACACTTACTGTTCGGCTATCATTGCTAATTTTTCATCGTTTACAGCTCTTCGTACTTCTGCACGATGTCTTTCATTAGAAATGTGTAAAACTTTAGCAAGTTCTTGTAATAATTTCTGTTTTTCACTGGTAAAGGGGCCTTGGGCACGTAAGACAGATACCATACTTCCGTAAGCATCTAATTCTATATTAAACAGAAAATATAGTCCTTCTATAATTATCATAATATGTAAATAATACAGTTGCTCTATGATAATCAACAAATTGCTAAGCAGCCACATACATTAATGACATTAGAAAACATGCAACGTTACAGAATCAATAATTACTTCTATCCTTCGAGCATAATTATTCTGAGATTTTAAAAGTTTAAGCGCTACCAAAGAAAACAATTGTTTGAAACTTAACCTTACCCAAATATCGTAAACATTTTCTGCATTCATCGCGGGTCATCGTTTCGTGCCTTGCTGGCCACATGATTGCATGCTTCGGTCGTTATAATAATCGTACCGAAAGTTTTCCACCATCAGTACGCCTTTTCCACATTTTCGACGTTTCGTTGACAGTATGGTAAGTTGATGATGAAGTTGCCGTCTAATTACATTTGTCGTATGTGCACCGTTTTTCGTTACAACATTGGTACCATTGTTAATCAATTCAATATACATTTCTATCCATTGGCTTACCTGGCTACAAATAAACATGCTTATTTAAACATGACAATGTAATTCACTATACTAAAATTGTTTTCTGATACAAGGAAACATTCAAATTTGTATATTTCTAAAACTATTTTTTAGTGTCACTCAACTTTCACTTTCCCGTTATTTGGAACGAAAAAGAAGAAAATAATAGAAACTTAAAAGTACTATAAATTAAATATAAATTTTTCAATCTCGAAAACAATATTATAATGTGCTTGTCTACCTGAAACTCATTTATTATTTTACTTCAAATTTGGAATTAACCATTCTTATATTACTATTTCCGATTTGCGAAACAATTGTAAAACCTTTATCTTTTGTACATATAGTATATAGTACATTGTATCGCTAATTACAACTTGAGGAAAGAAATTAGGAACTAAATGAAAAAATACAAAACTAATGAAAAATAGCGAATTTTGTTACATGTAAGATGCAACGGTATTAATATAAAGTCCACGGTATTGTAAAATAGGTCTATTTTAACGTAAAAACAAAAAAAAATAATTTACAGTTCCGTTTATTACATAATAAAAAATATAGAATAAACAATTTATGAATTTACAAAAAAATTAATAATAAATCGTTTAACATTCTTACGACCTAGTATTTTACGATATTACATTGATCACTGTGATGGCGAAATTGATTTCCAGAGTAAGATAATGACTTGCAAACATTCTTATTTACTTTGTCCCTTTTTTTCAATTTTAAAAGCTTTAATTGGAGATAACTTGGTCTGCTGAAATTTATAGAAGAGAATATTTACAAATCACTATCTTATCTAAAATAAATTTCGTCATCGCAGTGTGAAAATTTTACAATATTGATGTCGAAGCGATTAAAAACTGCGATACGTGCACGTGAAAATGTCCTGAAATGTCCTACTATCTCATAAAAGAAACCTGCATATGGTTTAAATTCTCTGAAATTTCGTAGGTTTGTTCCATTCAAACAATAGGATTATTATTATATTGTTCGTACCATTCCAATCCCCAAAAAAGTTTGTACTTCGCCTACAACTGCATTTAATTAATTTATCGATAATAAATTGGTATTAATAATAGCTTCGGTAAGGTCAAGCTAGATGCGCGAATTCGTTTGATTATCTCGTAGGTGCCACAGACGACGACTTGGTACTCTACCCTGACATTCCCGTGGGTGACATATAAAGTCGCTTGTAGGCTTTTCCTTATCTCAGTCGACGAACGCCAACGTCCGCGATCTATTTATTCGCTGGACATCTTAAGGCATGCGTTGTTTCGAATCGGTCCGAAGGAAAAGTGTATCGTGACGGGGGCCGGAGAATCGAATTGGCGAACTCTGTTCACCAATTGTAGTATTGTTTAGTATCACGTTCAAAGTAGTGATAAACAATGCGGATTCTCCCCGTGTTGATTATTGCAGTGCTCCTTGTCATTTGTTTCGTCGATTCCAGTCTTATACCGGCTAAAGGTAAGGGATACATAATTTACATATCAAAATGTAAACGAAAGTGTTTATGGCATTTGATTTGTTACTCCTTTCGGTAATCAATAAATTGTATTCTTTATTATATAGAAAAACTTTCAGTGTTTAAATAGTTCCTTTTGTACTGTAAATATAATTAAATGTATTCATTCTTGATACTTTAAATTAAAATGCACGGTTGTGTCCATAATAATATCGATTGTAACAGTGAAGATTGTGATAGTCAACGTGTTAAATTGGATGACCCTATAGGGAATTAATTTGGTAAAAAACGTTCTTTCAAATGTGGATAGTAATATGTTGGGACAGTATGCCAAATGTTATAAAATTTGATAATAGAATATAGATATATTATAATGTTTTGTAACGCGTCGTGTCCTGTGCAAGAATTGGATTGGATTCTATATTATTTCTACTTTCTCTAAATTTATTTTATATTATTTTTTATATGGATCTGCGAATAAAATTAAAGTAAGTAATTCTAGTATTTTAAAAATGTTTATGTCATTAAATCGTTATGACTTCAGCTTTTCGGATGATCTAATACAAACGCTTCCTAGTATCCCAAGAAAAAAATATGTTTTCCTCGTACCGTGTTGTTCATACTATTTATCTAAGCATATTTATGAACATCAACAAGCAAAGCTACTATTTCTAAATCATTCCTCAAACTCACAATTATTAAAAAAAATTACTAGTAAAATACAAATGAATTTATATAAATATATAATAATAACAGCATCACTCAAATCTTATTTTTTTATATATTCACTACAAATTCTTATTTTTCAAGATCCATATATAAAATCCACGATCAAATACAAGTATATTTCTTCTTTCTGCTTTTATTATATATCTTTGTTAAGCTGAAAATCGAATAAATACATTGCTGAAAATTTTATTTTTATCTGCCATAAACGCGTAGACGTGAAAATGCATAAAAAAGATAATTAATAAAGTAAATTTCAATTTGACGAAGAATGTCAGCTCGATCAGTAGTCAAGGCGTCAAATAAGTAAGACAAAAATGCGCGCACGCGTTCAGCATTGAGAAGCGTCCACCCTTTTCATCATCTTATGACGTCGCACCTTAACATTCTCTTGTTGTCAAATTTTTTGGACATATATCGTAGTTAAAAGTAAAGGGAAACGCCTAACGCTTCTACGGCTGCACCGCATTCCCATACACACTCACTGGATCGGAAACCAGTCGCCGTAAATGTTGACAAGAAACTCGGTAACGGCGAATCGTCCCTCCACTCGTTTCGCTCTATTCCGTGTTCACCATTTTCACGTCAGTAGACCTTATAAATACACACAAAACGGTGGTGAAAACGTGAAAAAAATTTATATTTATTTCCAATAGTATCATCCAATCTAACACATTGACTGTTATCCTTTCTACTGTTACGATACCTGTTATGGCACTACTGTGCGTTTTAGTTTGAATTTTTAACCATTTGGACTCGACAATTAATCTTTATAATCAAAATTATAGAGTTTAATATTTAATATTTAACATTGAACTTAGTATGATGCATCGCTATGTGAAACATTGAAATAAAGTAGTTTTCTTCCTTAATTTATGCGTGAATTAGCGTGAAGTTGATTTCAAAAAGATATCGTCTATATCTCATCGGGAAACGTTGAATACTTTTAACAACAAACTTTCGAGCGCGAAGGGATAAAAATAGAAGTACGTGTGAGTAAATATAAATACTTGTTATTGCCGTATCTAACTTACAATTAACATTTTTCTATACCTTTTTTAATTTGGGGTGGAAATTTGAAAGAGGTTTTATTTAACATGCCAAGTTATTCTTTTTAGTTTTCATATCAAACGCTAACTACACGGTAATTTATAATACAAGTGACTTTTGTAAAATTCATATTTTTCTAAAGATTGTGTTAAGAAATGATATAGCAATGTCTAATTGATTGATTTTCACAATTAGGTAACCGTCTAAAAAAACTATAACTGTAACCTTTTCCATTAATTTTAATTGAACTTGATCAACAGATTTTATTAAAAATTGTGCTTCACAAACGGAAGAAAGCAAAATATATTGAATTGTAAATATTCTCAATTCAAGATTCAGTAAATAACAAACGAAAGAAAGTAAACAATAATAAAGCTAGAGATCCCCTATTCGGTTGGCTAACGATAATAAGTGTTAACTTAAAGGATAATTTTCTGCGTTGTATCGGTAGAATGCCAGGTTTTCCTTGTTTTGTAATTTTAGTAGTATAGAAATTGCATTGTGCAGGCTTGACGACAAGTCTTCGGGAAGTATGGGACGACGACCACTTCGCGATTGCCTTATCGAACGTAAAATCGAAGAAAAAAGAGTCGGAAGCAATGGTTGAAACGCTTCTGGCAGTTAAGTATGGCGCATTCCGGAAGAAAACGATGCTAATGGTTGACAGGCGGACTAAACGAGGTAAAATGATAACGTTTTAACCATTTCACAGTTTAATCAGAGAAGAACTCGTTCAAGGTGACGCATACACTTCCGGAAACATTATTGAGCAACTGTATCTTCTCGTAATAATCCCTGGTCACGGTACTTGCATTCGCTTTTACTGAAATTATCGCTTAGTACCTTTGAATCTCACTCTGAATTTATTTGAACGTTTTGATTTTACAGATGAACGAAAATATTCTACTAAAATACGTTTATTTCGGGATATATTTTTATTAGTCAGATTAGGAATATTTATATGTAGATTTTTATTCTTATAATTGAAAAACTGTAAATAGTACGATTTAATGGTTTCCATACAATTTACAATTGAACGGCTCAGAATAATAGTAGTCTAATATCTATTTCTGAAATCTCGAGGAAACAAATTTTTGTGAATGATTCCGGAATTAATTGAATATTAATATTACGATTACTAATATTAGTAATAAATAATAATTAATATTATTAATAACATAGTAATATTAATATTGAATTAATCAAAGAACATTTCTGGGAATTCGGAAATAGGAATTAGACTATTATTCTGAGCTATTCAATTAATCGTGATCAATTAGTGATGATGAATGACTGTTATAGCAATCGATGTAACGTAAGATTGTCAATCGGATATTATAGCAGTCAATCGCTAAGAAAAGGAAACGCCGGAGAATGAGGAGGAAAAATATTGGTTTCAGTGATTCTCGAGAGCATCAACGAAAGTGGCCATCGAACCGCGCATCACATCCACGCGAACAATTTGAACGAGAACGCGCCGTCTAAGAACGTAATCGTTTCGGTGCATCAGAATCAACCAGATGCGCGGATAGACGTTTACATCGATTGCATCTATCAGGGCGCGATACCGTTCAAGAAACGTTTAAGGGAACTGGTGAATGACGTGGATGATGAGCCAATAGAGGCGGTAAGCTATTCAGAGCGATATTTTCTCTTAAGTTGTGAGTAAATTAGAACGTGATTCACCCGACTTGTCCCTAGCATAATTTCATGACAAACTCTTTTTTTCAAATGCAATGAACACTGTTGTTGTTGACTAGTTTCCACGCCTCAAACGACAATTTTTAGGGAAACTTTAGGGAAATAGATTGCTGAATGTTACACATGTAAAAAAGATTAAAAACTATTGTTCATAGTTCGTAGTTAAAGTATATAATAATAATCGTAATAATAAGAATACAACTGTTGAATATAATGTATCGTGCATTTTATCATTCTTGGTCTTGGGATCGTTGATTACGAGTAGCGTAGTTAGCTGTTGTCAAAAATGTTAGACCAAGAATTGTTGAAGATAATGATAATTTAAAGGTTAGTTTATTTGTAAAATTAATGAAATGAAGAAACTAGACCATGCTCCGTCTCTGGTCTTCAGGAGCGTTACACGGTTGTTATGAAGCAACGATGACGTTAGAGATCGTAGGATGACGCCTTTCCAAATATGGTTGCTTGGATCAAGGCTGTTTGCTTTATTACGCGCGACTGCTAACTCGTGTAACGCGTTTAAAAGTATCGAATCGGTTTCGATTCGCTCGGAATTCATCCTTCTTGAATATTAACGGCAGCCCACTTTCTTGCTGTCTCGATCAAGGCACACGCAAAAATCTCGGAGGAGTTCCAGCACGATTTATTGATGGTTGTATTTACATATGAAAGTAAATACATTTCAAGAGTCAAGTTTTGACAACAATTCCACTTGTTTCAAATGAAATTGCACTCTTATACCTGATTCATTTCGTCGTTGATTGCCGCTTTTATTTGTTTTCCTGTTTTTTTTAAATTTGATCGCATGATGAAGCTATTCCTTCTTTCTTTTTTAACTGAATCTTTCCTATTTTTTTATAGTTTATCTTTATTTTATTTTATAATCTATTTGAAACTTTAGTTAAATGTTTTTTTTTATTAGATCGTACTGCATACAATTAGGTAACAGAATAATGAACTAATGGATTTTTATATTTTGTACAATATACGGTTTGCTCCACAAGCCTCCATATAACATTAATTAAAATATTGTTATGTAATAGGAATCTAGAAGAACGAGATAAATTTTTTGAAATGGTAGAGAAAATGACACTCGGAACTTCTGGCTTCATTACTCATCGATGCATACATTTTAGAATGGCATTGTAATACTTGATTAACCACATATACGCCTACTTAAGTTTCACATGATTATTTTCTGTTCGCCGTATAGAAAAGAAACTTAAAAAGAAATTCGTTTATGCGAAACATTTTTTACAGTTCCTGATGGGACCATGTTTTTATTGCTAAGAAATTTAATAATAATATTCAATATTATCAATAAGGTACGCTTTATTCAATTATCATTAATTGACACGAAGCATCTGGACACTCCAGTTTTCTCCGGTGCAGTATCCAGTATTTAATTCGATCACTTTAACTTGAAAGTAAAACGTAACCTAATCAATTATTTCCAACTGATTATAAAACACCACCAAACAATTTTTATATCATTCTCAACAAACATTAAAATTCTTTATAAAGAAACCAAGTCTCTATAACACAGAGTTCTCTGAAAATTGATTTTTCGATGCTTAATATTCCATTCATAAAAATCTACGATCTACAACAAACAACATACCTGATCAAGTGGTTTTGGTTTAAAGAAAATATTCAATAAATTTATTTATAAATTTCGTTGAAACCTTTAAAGAAAATTAAAGTAAAACATTATCATCGATAATTCGAGTTTCTTAAATCAAAGTTAAACTTAAATCAAAATCAAGTCGATCGTCACGAGTCGTCGCGTATTTTAGTTCAGGGAGAGAAGGAGCCAGGCAAAAGTGTATCGATCATCTGCCGTCGAAGACGCTTTCAAGGATGAAAACTGTCCTGACCATTTAGCCGACACAAGCGTGCCCGCGGATTACTCGAAGCACGAGGAGTCCATTTGGTACTCCAACACCGGTGATTTTGATCGATCGGACGACGTCGAGCAATTCGCGAAATCGGACCACGGCCATTCATCAACTCGACTGGGTCAATCGAACCGACATGCGAAACGCACGTCCACAGGCAACCACGGCAAATACACATCGTTAGGTGACTTCGAATTTGATCAGAATTGGGATCGACTCGACGAGGATGCGGAGGAAACGGATGCTTATGGTCGGGCAGCGTCGAATTATAAGAGAACACCTAGGAGAGGGGACATATCGATTCAAAGCTTGGACGAGAAAAGTAATTGAAAAGATAAATAAGTATATAATTTGACACCAGATTTACGGAATGAGTCGATTTGACTCGTATTGAATTTTATAAACATTATTTGGTGAATATTTAGGTTAATTTTGATTGACTCCGATACACAAATATGTGCTCTAATTGCCTACTTATAAACCTCTAATTTTCAAAATCTAAATAAATGAATATCAATTTTTCTAAGAACGATATAATAAACTGTACGTTAAACCTCTGTAAATCTAGTGTTAAACAGATTATCGTGTACTAGTTGAATGTGAGGGTTCTATTTTCGGAAAGTAAAAAATTGATACCGGTTTTTAATGTTTCACTGATAAACTGTGCGTTCTTATAACATCGATGTATACTGTTTCTTGATGGTCTTTCTCAATTAATCTTTCGAAGAGAATATGAAATATTAAGAATCTTGGGAGATATTCGAGGTTTTGTTTAAGTATAAAGATCGTCTTTTCGTTCTTCAGTCGCTAAACCTGATAAAGTTATTTGAAACAAACGCATTGCAGAATTCTAAGATCAACAGAACTCTCGCATTCGACCACCCACTGACTCAACATTACTTACTGAACGTTCCAACATTTCAGCCTGCGTGACCGACATTCAACTAGTAAAAACCCTGAACGAACTGATCGAAGCCACTAAAAAGATTTGGAGGGAAATCGAATTGAACGTGAGTATCCTGTTCCGTTTTGCAGCGGGTAAAGCGAATTTTCTTTGCCAACTACAGGAAACCTCGTATTTTTCAGAGAGTGGAAACGCAACATCTACGACACTTGATCGAAAATTGCGCAGGCTGTCGGGAGCGTCCCGGTGAGTGAAGTTCCGCTGTATCGAAAGATTATTAATTGTCAAGTGACCGTTCTTTGTTCTCCTCTTCGGTAATATCCGCTTCGACTATCGTTTTCGGTTTTCTGGTTCTCCGCGTGGTAACGATATTTCAACGATCAATTAACCTGGACGACGATATTATTTACTCGTGTACGACACCTCTGATGTACAAAGTGGCCACGAACGTCTGCAATAAACATGTACAATTGTTACAAAAAGAAAAAGAATGGAATAAACCGGGCTTCCTCGGATAAGCGATTCCTGATAAAATCCTGATCCTCTCGATTCCACAGTTACGACCACGACGCCTGCACCTTCCACTTGCGATTACAAGTCGCCCTGCTTCCCGGGGGCCGACTGTCGCGACACACCACAAGGCCCAAGGTGCGGCCCGTGCCCGCCCGGGTACACCGGCGACGGATACCGGTGCGCAAAGATGGCCAATCCTTGCGCAAGCAATCCGTGCTACCCCGGGGTCCGTTGTTACGACCGCGTGGGCGGTTACAGGTATCTTATCCTTCGATCGGTTTTCATCAAAACATAGCCGATGGGCGAGATATAGCAAACTAGAAATTATAACTGCGATCGTCTTTTTAGTATCTTAAGATTGATCCTCTTTTCGGCGCTAACGAAACGTTATAAGGATTTTGCAGTACCAAGCGTGTATCGTAACTTGTACCTGGTATCATTTCAAAAGTAATGTTTGCACTTTGGTTTACTTCTTGTAAGTAATCAGGTTGGTTCATACTTATTTAACGATGCTTGTCTACAGGGTACTGTTTAAGAACCTGAGTCTTGTGCAGTATCCTCCTTTAATGGCGTCAATTATAGTGGATTATACGAGTTTGCTATATTTTGTCCAGCGACTGCACTTGGAGGTAACGATGTAGTGAGATAGTAAAAGTCAGACTGAAGGTTCCTTCACAGGTCAGGTTCAGCTGGAATGCTCGAGCTCAGGGCCGGCTGCAGCGCTTCAAAAGATTTTCAAAACTGGTCTAAAAAGAACACTAATTTTGAAGGATGATGCTTTTGTGCAACACTAGCCGAGGTATCACGTCTCTATCATCTTGATGCTCTTTGTTGATTCGAGTTCCTTTATGATCCAGGTGGTTTTATTGTGTCACTGTATTGTTACCTCCAAGTTTGCCTAGTGAACAAGGTACCACGAACTCGTAAAATGTTTCAAGAAAATGGAAGAATCTTGTGATTCGTCTGTGAAAAGTACTATATATTAGACTCGATTTTCAGTTTTATTATAAAAATTAGCAAGAATCGATTGGGTCTCACCGCGCAAATGGTGTTGAATCTTAAGAATATTAATTTTACAAGTCCGTTGTACGTTTTTCGTCGAACTTAATAGTCAATGGAAGTGATACAGTTTTATGATTTAAGTAGTTTTATGTTGCACATTATTTTGTTATAATGCCTCTAAAATGTAAAACTGATTACTAGAATATACACGATGGAAACAAAGTTTCAATAGTGAGACGAAAAACACTTCACAGGATACTTTCAATTACAGTATATCATTTCTATTGATTATATAAGATTTAATCCAAAAGTTTCAAAATTCAAAATAATCCTGCTATGGTTCTCTGGCTTTTTCAAATCGATCACATTTTCATTGCTTTAAAAATCATTCTGCGTTCGACGAAAGTTTCAAGGAATTATTCTTAATATGCATGCCTTTCCTTTTTCATTATTATGTTATGTATACGTAGAACTAAATCGAGTGTCTTAGTTAAGGTAAAGAAGCAATTTTTACATAAAATATTGATAATTCTTATTATGAATGGTCGAAAATAGTTTCCTTCTAAATAATTTATGCAAGTATGATACTTCATCAGAATAACAAAGAGAGCATTATTTATTTACTTCTGTTTCTTTGTTGCAAACGAAGTATCATTTAAAAAGAAACTATTTCGATTAGGTCATAATAAAATAATCAATATCTCAAGAATGTTTGGTACCTACATTTTAATTTGGATGTTTCTGGAAGTAATGTGCTCTAACGTTTAGCGGGACAAGATGGCTGACGCTGTTCGCAACTTATGAACTATTTTGCTAACAATTTAGGGTTGGTTAAAAGAGAAGATTTAGAAGATTACAAAGGTTTATCGCTAATATTTACACAAAAAGAGTTTAATGTTTAGAATTGCCAAAATTAAATTGCCAATTTTTAATTTACAACGGATGGGTAAGACAAGCATATTTTATACCAACGTGATTATATTTAAATGATATAGTTGGACTATCTTGAATATTTAAGGGTTTTAGTTTATGAACCTAAATGCTTTTGATTTATATAAAAATAGGGAAAAGTAAAGCAATTAAAGCTGTTAAATATTGTTCACTGCAACAAAAGTTTAGAATTAAAATTGATTAAATTTATTAAAGTAAAATTAAAGTTTCAAGGATAATTATGAATGCTAAGTGAAGAAATAGAACATGATATATGAGATTCATTGAAAACACTAACAATGTAACTTTGAAATTCTATTAACATAAATTATGACAATTTTTATGTGTAGGTTGAAAGTACCAATTCTCGCAATAGCTGTTTTTTATAACATTTGTATGACAAAAGTAGGAGCGTTTTGAATAGTTCAAAGTTTTAATACAATTATAAAAGGAGATTTTAACAGAAAATTAAATATGACAAGCAAGTTATTCCGCTTTTTTCGCACTTAGTGTTATATATGCCACTGCAATCAATTAATAAATCATTTGAGATACTTTTTGCAACAGTACAAACTAAACATACGCAAATCAATACTTACAGTTGGGAAACATCGGGCAATAAGATTTACAAAGATAAACAAATAACATCTAATGTTCGTAGAATATATGATATCTATCCTTGATATGTTACACACAAAATGCCTCATTCTTAAACGTCTGAATATTATATCAACTCCCATTGAAAGTAAAAAAAGAAATACTTATAGCAATCTATATATTTTCTGAATGTTTCAGAATCATCATCATCGTTTCTCGTATCGACCTCTACTTTCATTATTCTTCATGACATCATCATCTTGACATAGCATTCAGAAAGATATTAAAAGACCTTTCCTTTATTTTTCAGTAAATTTTAATCATTTCTACTTTCAACACCAGTAGAAATAATTTAGGTATTCAGTTGAAATGAGACAATTTGTCCAACATACAAAAATAAATTACGAATCTCTCGAATCGTTAACGAACTTTTGGGTATACAGATTTGTGGTTCTCCTATACATAGACTTGTCTACGAATTTTTCAGTTGCGGAAAGTGTCCTGTCGGCTACCTCGGCGACGGAATGCGTTGCGAACGACGTAGGAACGGTTGCGAAAGCCGTCCTTGTTACCCGGAAGTGGAGTGCGAGTTGATCATTCATCCCCCGTATTACAGGTCGCGTGATTATTCGCCTCATCCTACAAATTCACGTCTGTTTCGTCTCGCTTCGTTCGCGCCTCATTGTGTTCCATTCGGTTTGACGTCATTCAGAGACGAGTAGACAATCCTCGATTCTGTTTAAAGTGACCGTGACGTTTTTAGATGCGGCTCTTGTCCGAACGGATTCGTCGGGAACGGCACATCGTGCGTTGTGATGAACGAGTGTGAACTGGCGCAACCTTGCCACCCCGGAGTGCGATGCGTTAATCTGCGCCTCGGATACAGATGCGACTCATGCCCGCGTGGTTACACGGGATCTATCGTGGAAGGAGTCGGTCTAGATTTCGCTAGGACCCACAAACAGGTCTGCCAGGATATCAATGAATGCGTTGTCAACAACGGTGGCTGCGATCCGTACATGGAGTGTATTAACACGGAGGTATATACGATGTACTCTATTTTCATGAACAGCACTAAAGGTTTTTAGAGAAACTTAATTGAAGTTATCACTGTATTTTTGCCAATATCATTAAACTTTCATATTATTTTTTCATCATTTTTTATTACTTGTAATGAAATTAAAGCTCAATGGAATTTCCTTTTCTTCGTGGATGCTTTTAGGAAAGTGTTCAAAAGGAAAGCGGAAGTGTAGTAGATTCTAGTCTATCTAAGTGTACCGTCGAGTTACTATCATTTTTGGACAATTTCTTTAAGAAGAATGGAAGAATTGGATTGGTTTTGTTTTAAAATATAATAGTTAGTTTATATTGTCTGATTTTAAATATTGACAATTTCAATATTCAAACAGTTCTCAGTTGCTTGAATCTTTACAGGGCTCATTCAGATGCGGTCCTTGTAAGCCGGGGTACGAGGGAAACCAAACGATAGGGTGCCACCGCAGAGGCAACCTTTGCGCTGATTCGAAAACAATCTGCGATGAAAACGCCGAATGCATGTGCATCGACACCGACCGGTATACTTGCAGGGTAACTATCTTATAAGCGTGCAATACAAAAAGAGGTTTAACACGTTGAATGCCGCACGATTTCATAGAGCAAAATATACGAAATGGAAGAAATATAATATTAAATTATTTGATTCAACTGGATTATTATTATTATACGTTCGTCTAGCTGAATGTCACTGCATTAGCTAGGATTGTTTATAATATAGAAACGTTTTCAAATAATCATCATTTTCATTCAGTGAACTATAGTAATTCGATTTTATTGGGGGCCACCGATCACCCCCATGGCATTCAACGTGTTAATAAACGAAAATTCAACTTATAATTAAATGTAACTAAAATTACGACTTATCGCCTTCGTTCGAATTCTAGTTGTAGAGGTAAAATGCATATTAAACACGAGTTACAGAGTTTTATATTTCGAGTTACAGAAGTTTTTACAGCGTAGCGAAAGGGGAACGAAGAAATTTTAAGAGTTATAGAGGTTCAACTGTTCTGTTTAGTGATCACTAGATAGCTAGGCTGAAGAATGAGGCTGATCAATCAGCTCTCATTTATTCTCACCCAGTTTTCTATTAATATTATTTCCTAATTTCTATTTTCGATAACTAACTTGCTATTCGTCAATGTGGTTACACGTAACCAACCGAAACTATAAAACTGAAAACTAAGTAGGCACATCTTCTTCCTATACGGTTCCAGTAGACATCGACTCGTCTCCCGATTGTACTTTCTTGAATTTCAAAAGCAAACCTAATACTTATTATTTGTAGTGTCACGTCGGATGGGCAGGAAATGGACTCGTCTGCGGTTTAGACAGGGACAGCGACGGTGTACCGGACGGGAATCTCCGGTGCTACGATCGACAATGTCGCGCTGATAATTGTCCTCTAGTACCGAATAGTGGCCAGGAAGACGCGGATGGAGATGGAATGGGCGACGCCTGCGATCTAGACGCCGACAACGACGGTGTGCTAAATCCATCGGACAATTGTCCATTGCTTTCGAATCCAGGACAGGAAGACACAGATCGCGACGGGCCGGATTCTGTTGGAGATGTCTGTGACAATTGTCCATATGTCAGGAACCCGAAGCAGGAAGACACAGACAACGACGGAATCGGCGACGCTTGTGACCCTGACATCGACAATGACGGTATTTAGGGTGTCAATGAAAATGTTCGAGATTTTTTCAAGATAGATAATATGCAATAATAATATTACATATCATATCAATTGACGTTCGTACATACAGTTTGTTACAGAAGTAATTAAAGACGAAAGCTTTGTAGTAGTTTTTAGAGTATCATCAATTTATCGTTTTGTATTGCAGATTAATTTGATTTTTTTAAATAATTAATACTTAAGTAGCGTATTTATATTAAATACTGTTAATTAACAGTTTTATTGTTGTATGCGGAATCTATTTTGAAAGTAATGAAAATCAAATTGAATTGAATTGAATTTAATTGAATTGAATTTAATTTAAATTAATTCAGTTCGTTTAGTTTAATTAAACAGTTTTTAATATCTCTACCTTTTCGTAGGTATTCCGAACAACCACGATAACTGCCCGAGAAAGAAAAACCAAGATCAAATTGATTCCGATAAAGATAGAATCGGCGACGCCTGTGACAATTGTCCTTTCGATTCTAATACGGATCAATTGGATCAAGATGGCGATGGAGTGGGCGACGTTTGTGATAACGATAACGATAGGGATAGAGACGGCGTTCAAGATGATAGAGACAATTGTCCCGATATAGCGAATTCAGGACAGAATGACGATGACCGCGACGGCATAGGAAACGAGTGTGACGATGATATGGATAACGATGGAGTGCCAAACCATCAGGACAATTGTCCCTACGTGTACAATCCGGATCAACGTCACAGTCGTCGTAAGTTGCGACAAATTGCATGAAAACAATAATAATTTTCTTATTTCTTGTCGGTCAGTAAATGTATAAATTAAAATGATCTGTAACGGATTATAGCTGGGAACATTCTGTTTCCTGTATAAAAAACTTAGCACACCTTAACACAGAAATCAATATCGTATATTTACCTTTACGATCTATAAAATTGTTTATAAAATTAAGTTCTCTTAATTGTTGCGTATAGAAATTAAATTGAACATAAAAAGAAAATATAATTATTGCAAAGTTTGGATTTCGAAATGATAATATTCTGATTGTCAGACGAATATATTGGCGACGCCTGTTGGAACGACTATGACAACGACACCATAGTCAATCTCCAAGACAATTGTCCGAACAACAGTTTGATTTGGACAACGGATTTCCGGAAGTATGTGACGATCGCTCTGGATCCTTTTGGGACGGCTCAAGACGATCCAGTGTGGAAGATAAATCATGGCGGTGCAGAGATTCAGCAACTGGTCAATAGCGACCCTGGAATTGCTATCGGTAACATATTCCAGGATTCTAGGATATTTGTCAAACAGTAAAGCGGAAATTCTGGTAACTTGGATAATCGGTGACAATAACAAGACTTTTTCTAAAAAATTTCAGTGCCCAGCGGCGCTCTTCTCCGTTATACTGCCTAAAAGTGCCAACCTATCGACCCGTAGAATCAAACTAAATTCATTTATTTCTTTTCCTTCTAATTATTTACTTCTATTGTCCTATTACCTACTTAGAAATGAAAAATAGAAAAGTGTTATTCAGCTTTCGAGCTGAAACGAAAGAAGCACCATCGCGTTACTTGGCACTTCTCAACCAGGTTACGCGAAGATCAAAACTTTTGCCACACAAGCGGTTAAACGAGCTCGAGCAGTCCCCCGGATTACCCTATCAAATGTTAAAACACAGAAAACACGTTTAAATCGAACAGTGTAAACGTGTCCTGCCAACAGGCCCAGACGTGTTCAGCGGCGTAGACTTCGAGGGCACGTTCTTCGTGGACGACGACGCGGACGACGACTCCGTCGGGTTCGTGTTCTCTTACCAGGACAACCGTCGGTTCTATATCGTGGCTTGGAAGAAGGGCCAGCAGCCTTACTGGATGCCGAATCCGTTCCGAGCAGTCGGCGAGCCTGGAATCATGTTGAAGCTAGTTGACTCGGCAACCGGACCCGGAGAGCTTCTTAGAAACAGCCTGTGGCACAACGAAGGCACCCCGAACCAAGTGAAGATACTATGGCGCGATCCGAAGAAGATCGGCTGGAAAGAGAGGACCCCGTACAGGTGGCAGTTATTGCACAGACCGAGGATTGGTTTGATCAGGTTCAGGTTGTACCAAGGCAAACAGCTAATGGCCGATTCCGGGAACGTATACGACTCGACCCTGAAAGGCGGCCGGCTAGGCGTTTACTGCTTCTCCCAGGAGAGGATCACCTGGTCCAACCTCCTATACACTTGCAAAGGTGAGGAAAGAAATGAGGATTTCGGGTGTTTCTTCATTTGAACGTGTTAGTTTACATTTTTTGCTTTTGTTTTTCTTCGATTGTATAGAGGTGCTAACCAAGGTAGGTAAATTCGATTGATAATAATTGACATTATCGGTAGTTCCGGTACGAGTGGAAGAGGTCGGTTTTCGATCGAACGAATTAATTCTACGACTATCGGCGGGTTTTCTTACAACATGCTTCTATTTCTTGCTCTCTCCCTCTCCCTCTCCCTCTCACTCTCCCTCTCACTCTCCCTCTCACTCTGCCTCTCACTCTGCCTCTCACTCTGCCTCTCACTCTCCCTCTCACTCTCCCTCTCTCTCTCTCTCTCTCTCTTGCACGTTTGTTATTTTTCTTTGGATCGACTGATTCAGAACGTTGTATCCTATTTTTCTGTAATCGTATTGCTTAGACCAGCGATTTCCAAACTGAAAGACGCGGACTGGTGCAAAAGGAGGCGCGGAAAGTTATTATTCTGTTAATGGCTTTCTCATTGTTTGTATTAATACGTTCTTTACCATTTAAAAATAAGTCTGTGTTATTTTGTGAAATGAAGAGGGGAAGGGGGACCATAATTATATTGTTTTTAAAGTGTAGCAACATAAAGTTTGGAAACCACTGGCTTAGACCGTAGCGATTATGTTCCTTGCAAACATCACGCGTGTCGATGTATGTACAATGAAACGGATAGAAAGAGGTGGAAGAAAGTAGCTGTCAACAATGTGTCCTGTAACTTGCCGTTGGACTGCGGGTGTTTCTGCGTTTATGGGAAATTTGACAATTTAAGGTTGCACGGAATGCACGTGACACGTGAGAATATATAAAAATATCCAAACTGTAGCAATGCTGTTTGCAACGATTGCTAGAAAAACTGGTTTTCTATTGCAGTTCTATTTTTCTAAATATATTCTTGAAAAGTTTATTGGGCTGATGCAAAAATTTTGACGTTTTTTGTACGTGGCTGACAAAAAAATTGATTTCTTTAAAACAAATAACATCTGTCGTCAAACTATTATAACGTGTATACAGGACACTCCTTTCTGTGTTTCTACTTAGTTTTGATTTAGCCAGCGAACAGTTGAGAGCCCTTCTTTTTATTTCTTATAAAAAAAACGTCAAAACTTTTGCATCAACCGAATAATTTGCAAAAAGACCCGCAGTCCATTTATAATCGTCAACGGAATCGTATAGGTGGACAGGGAACACGTTTCCAAAGTGTACAGGGTAAATAGCAAAATTGATATTCACTTTCGCTTAACGAAGAAACTTCGAAGGTTTCTTGATTAACAAAATTTTTTGCGGACCCTTTACTAATACCATGAACACTGTTTCCATCTGTATTTTTATACAATATTGTTGCGTGCATTCCTGACAGAGTTTCTATTTGTTCAAGTTTCAAATTTCGAAGCTTCTTAATGTTTGAACTTTTTGAGGTTCGTTTAGAAAGGTGCAGCGAATTCTGTGTAAAGGGTGCTTTAACCTGTTAACCGAAGACAACGTATTATTACTTGAGCATTAACCTCAATTCTTGTTTTTTTATTTACTTATCAAAATACTATTCAATGCTGTCTGTACCAGTATTAATTATATTTCACCTACATTTATTACGATGCGTATTGTAATCAATCTTTCAAACAGTTAACTTAAACGTGTCCTAATTTAACGAAACTGTGAATGTTCATGGAAAAATCATCCGGTCAACAGGTTGATGGAACAAAACTAAATCGAAAATATAGAATAAAATTGTTTCATACGATACTTCATTTTCAAGATAATCGAATTTGAATACTAAGTAGAGACTACTGTTTCGCCTGATCATTACTCGACGTATCCACTTATTTGGTGGCGCCAATGCAGAAAAAGAAAAGAGATATTGCAAGTGAATTCTTTTTAAAATTGACAGCTATAAGTATGAATCAATTTTATTGTTCAGTTTTGACATTTTTGAGATTTTAATTGTGCTCCTTATTTTCAGAAACCGTACCGCGATCAGTATGGAACGAGTTGCCTGCCGATTTGAAGAACGAGGTGGCCGTAGAACCGAGCGACGACAAACATCAACAATCCATGCGTCGCGTCGATTACGACTTCTTTTGAATTTCCATTTTAATCCAGATTATGGACATTTAACAATTTATCGTAAGGAAACGATTAAACCTACAAGACAGCGAAATTAAAATACCTCATTGTTCTGCTAAATCGGAAGCGGGACCGTTCAACGTGTCTTAAAAGTACAGTTTTCCGTTCAAGAACGTGGAACAACGTTTACACGCGATTCTTCTAAAACACCGGTATCCTAATATCGTGAAACAGGCGACTTGTCTTTGCGTTTAAACAAAACAAGAATTCTGAGCGCATCGCGAAAACATTTGCATTACAAAAACGTACAGTGCCAACCAAAAGTTTTGTGGGAAAAATTTCTGTTTTATTTTCGAATTGCCTTTGCAGCCTACATTTCTAAATAATATTCAAATATAAAAATTTACAAACTTAAAGATAGTTGTAATTTTGTTGTTCACTTAAAAAAAACTTGTATTCCGTTGGTTTAATGCAGAATGCATATCACAATGTTTTTAATTCTTTTCATTTTCATTTTTATTATCTTCTGTTTATATTTCTGAGCGACCAACTTAATATGTAAATTACAGTGTATCGAAGAACACATCGTAAATTCAACGAACGCGGATATAAATAAGTACATCGATAAGATAAGAGTTAAAGATGTGTTTACGATTTAGGTTATATTTGTCGTGTGATGTAACTTTAATGAATGTATAAATAGTTATTTTGAACTTTTGGTTGGCAGTATACGTTGTCGTGGTGCAAAAAATGAAGAAATGCAACAGAAGTGATAAAATTCTAACTAATTAATGAATACGACATACACATATACTACGAATTAAAGAGACTCACGAACAAATATTTAAACGACCGCGATAATAGTCGATGATAACTAGACTGCTGACGTTTCTACAAATATGGGTTTCTTTAGACTAATTCACTGAGAACTGTAATTAAAGAGACATTTTCTACTCTGCGAAATATTAAGTACAGTGTTTAAAACAGTTTTATTTCGTTTGTAATTTTATAAATCCATTGACAGAGGAAATAAAATTCATTTTACGTGAATTTTGTAAAAATGTAATTTTTCCTTATATTTGTGCATATAAGATAGAAATTTATAAGACAAGTGTTTCAAATTTCGAGAAATTACGAATAAAAATTTGAAACATCGATATCTGACTGTAAACTTCGGTATACATTATATTCATATTCTCGAAAAGAAAAATCCCTTCCATGTATTTTCATTCTTCCAAAATCAAAAATATTTGCCATGTTACGAACCAAAGAAAAATCCGGTTAGACTTTACTAAACTTTTCGCTGTATTGAGCTTTAAACAATCATATTTACTACAAACGTATAAAATCAGTAATAATTTTTAATAATTTTTCAAAAACACAGTTATCTTTTACGAGAAATAAAGAAACGAAACACTTCCTTTAAGCTATCCTAAAAAATGTTTCTAATTTACAACCTCTCGAAACATCGAAATTACAAATTCTTTACGTGACAACAGAACGCTGTCCTAACAATAAGTGTAACAATTCGCACACCTCTCTGCATTTTCATTGACTGACGCTGATATTTCAGAGCAATGCTCTTTACTCTATGCATGTTCAATGCCATCGATAGTTAACCACCATACTTCCTTTATTGACTAATTTTTCATTCCTGTAGAACAAATTCTGAATTACTGATTAGGTCATTTCATAACTAGAATATAGAGAAATCAATTTAGAAATGAAAAATAGTATAAAAACCATTAATGACAGAAAAAGAATCAAGTGGAACTGTTCAATATTCTTATACATCAAAAATGTTGTAGACAAATGTTTTAAAGGTATAGTAAATGGTACATTAAGACGAAAAGAGCAATAGCGATACACTGAATATCAAAATGATAAGTCATAGATCTATAGGTTTGGGTCCCATATTTCAAATAAAAATCCTTCCTACAAATGTGACGGATATCGATCGACATTGCAGGAAGGATCATTTATCTATTGATATGCTCTAAATACAGAAACTTGCAAATAGTCTAACAAGGAAATACACCGAATATTGCATCCATCGATTTTACTAAAATTTTCATGAAAAATCTAATAAGTATTTTTTAATTGGGCATCGCTTATATTAAAGATATTAAAACAGTCTTCAAAATTGGGGAGAAACACATTTTACCAAATTAATTAGACACTATTAGAGCTAGAAAAAAATTCGAAAAACCACTTCTAAAGTGTGTACACAATGAAATAATTACAATTATAATAATCTACGCATAATGGAAGCTTTTATTTTTTAGTAAGAAATATTTCTTATCAAAGTTTCATCGAAATTGATGAACTTCGGTATTATTCCCTTGTAAATTGAAAACTCTCGCAAAAGACGATACGGACGATAAAAAAATATCAGTGTTCTACTTCTCTTCTTAAAAAAAATCGGAACTATTAAGCAAAGTACTGTAACGTTCAGAATAGTACACTATCTAACTATGAGCTACTAATTAAGAAAGTTAGAAAACGATCGTAAAAAATTCAGGTAGAATCCATAAAATCGTAGACATGGTGCACGCTGGGTAAATATGTAGTAAGTACGTTGTGCAGGATAAACCATTTCGGAGACGACATGACGTGCAACACGCTTGCAAACTTTTGAATTTCCGCTCTATGGATACTGACCGGGATCTACAATGGCTACGTTTAGATTAAAGGTTATAAGAAATCGATTTCCATGCGAGTTTCATAGGTATTGGAACAGTGGCGGTCAATATCGTTTTTAAACGCATCGGCTGTAGAAGAAGGGCCGACGGACCGGGGGCGACCAGGCGATCCTTTTGAATTCGTAATTACAAAGAAACCATTCTAAGTTCAACAGTAATATTATACGTATACGCATATTTCATGTATGTACATTGTCAGAAAGGAAATGAACCGCCTAGACGGTAAACCTATCGACTATACATCTCGCCATTTTGTTCGAGCCTGTATTACGAAGGATATTAAATTTATCCAAAAGTTCCCATCTTCCCTTTAAACAAAAATATATAAAGCTTTTTATCCTGTTCATAACGAATAATTATTAGGATACTTATATTGTCCTTCAACTATTTATTTTTCCATCGTTTAGATAACTGTTCGATTGCGGTATATATCGTAAAATGAAAAAATTGGTATTGGTTTTTAGAAAATCGTCGATAACGGATTTCTGAATGTTTCTAAACGTTTACCTAACGTGACCTAACCAAGTAAATTGATCTTTTGTATAACAAAATTTATTGTAATGGCAATTTTTAGTAACTTTTTCATAATTTATTAATTTATTATTATTATTTAATAATTTAATAATTTTTTCATTTATTATAATAGAAAATGTAATAATTTTGTTTGCTGGATTTGTTGATGAACATAAGTTTAGCTGAATGTAACGAATGTTTCAAGTGACCGTTACAGCTGACAACTGATTAATGAGATTCACAAATTAAGTATTTGTAATTATAGAATTAATAAAAGAAACGGTAAGGTTAAATTCAAGAAGAACTGTTTATTAAGTATCTTTTGATATTATGGAATTATAAAGGGTGGGAACTTTCGCAAAAATTTCATAAACACCGAGAACCTTTAATCGAAAGTTAAGGCGTACGAATGGCCAGCACACGATATTCGAAAGATGAAGAGATTAACCGCGTTAAACTACTCTGAATCCACAGTAAAATTCGTTCGATAGGATTCACGTAAAACGAACTTCAAAGAGAGAAGACTCGATACGAACGAGCGCAGCCGTTTTCCAGGTTGCACGCGTTTTGGCAGTGGTCAGAGCTCGAACTCTTAGGCAGTTGAGCGTTATTTAAAGAAGAAATAGTAAAGATCCTCAACGAAGAACTTTTCTCGTTTCGTTTCCACTTATCCGCTGGTACAATTTCATATTACAAAGGTGTGTCAATTAAAAGACTCAACGTAGCCACCCTCCTTTTTCACATTCCTAAAAGACAAGCTGTTTTTCAACCATTAGTCATTGTATTAACTATCTCAGTACTGTTATATTGGTTCCTCTTTACGTTATTGTTCTGACGTTCCAAAACTAACGAAAATTCGCATTCTATTGTAATCTCCCAAATACTTACTTTTTGCATACCATATTTCACTATGTCTTTTATATTCAACCAAAAACATACCGTATTACAATAATCTCTTATTAACACGCCCACTACTCGTTTCATTAACAATCTTCACAGCTATAATTCCATTAGATGCGATAGTATCGTGTTTCGTAACTTTAAAGAACAACATGCAGGAAATTCAGTGAACTTCCCTTTGGTAAAATGAAAGACCGAAGACGTCACGGGTGACGTCAATCGCGAATGTTTCGAAAACAGGGAAGTGTGAATTACAAATATTATACACACACGGAAGCTGTTATTTATAAAGGAACGTTTCTTAAATTGTTTATACAGCTCGAGTCTGATAATTTACACGCCTTTGCATGTGTCTTCTTAGGAATGCAAGTTGTACCGATTACATTTTACTAAACCTCTCGCGTTATCGTACAAGGAACCAACGTTTCGTACGAAACGAGAAACACGGGGATTATTATATTACAGAATTCTCAACGCCGAAAAAACAATTTTCTGCCATTCGAGGAAGGTATGTATAATATATCGAGGAAAGATTGCGCCCAACGTGTCTCGTCGGGTATTTTCTACTCGGCGACTCGAATCGATTTGAGCGCGCAACATGTTTTTAATTTTAACCAGTGTTCTTTTGATATATACGAACGGTTCAATCGGATCTCTGAGTTGGCTAGTACATGTTTTCTGTTCCCTTTATAAAACTACGTTCACTTAACTGCGATGATCACAATCGACGGAACGTCGACGACCTATTCCGTTTCGTATCGCGAAGACTAACGTTTCTTCTTTGCGAAACGAATTTTTGCAAAAGAAATTACATCGAGATCGGGACTCCTATTTATAGTGTTCGTACTGTTCACTTGAATAGTCTGCAGTCAGAGTATGGTAATTTTGTGTAAGCAATCTGAAGAAATTCAGTTGTGACAAACGTAAATATTATTCAAACGAATAAATCGGATGGTTGTGGGTATTATTATCGTAATTCGTAGAGGAGCAAATCGTTTTTTGTCTCGGAAATATAAATTCTTTAATGGAAGAAATCTGAACATACGTATTTTTATATAATGTTAATTTAATTAAATTATCATATTCGACTATTTAAAAGAACTTTCTTCATTTTTAATAAAGATTTTATCGTATAATATTAATTAGGAGAAGTTGAAGTATTCTTATGGTGTAATGAAATACTTATAAACGAGAAAACTGTATGATCTGTGAAATCGTTGAATGTTCTCCAAATCTTAACTTCATCGGTATGATGACATGAAGGTTGAATATTAATTTATATGCGGTAAGTACAAGTATTAATAAATTATAAATATGAACTTACTAATATATTGTCGCTTTTAAAATGTAATTGTTTGTATAGCACGAGCCATTACCGAATTTTTATATCATTTTCTTTGTATGTATATATATATTTAAAGCAAAATATAATATTATAAGTATAAAACTACAAAATTATAATAAATATGTAAGACAAGACTATTCAAGTGGACAGAAGTATATTAAATGACCAAACTATCCGGCATAATTAAAAATATAAGAAAACGACTAAGAAATGTAAGATCCTGTGCAGTCCATATGTCGATTCAAACTTCGAATATGGGTCTTGAAGATACACGACTAATGAATTAACACTTTGACTAGTAGATCAACCCTTAGAGAATTTCCAAAAGGTGGAAAGCTTATCTCAAATCAAACGAAAAAATATATAAATTCTTGTAGGCTCGTTAATCCTAACTAAATTAATTTTATTTAACATTTTACCTCAGATACTAACACGTTGAATGTGGTGCCATTATTAAATGATCTAATTAAAACAAATCACTGCAACTTCTTGAACGAAACGGTTGCTAAGGAACGTTTTATTATAACATATTCCAATTACTAAATCTTATGTAAAGAACTTTAAATATAAACTTCCTGTTTTTGTATAAATAAACAAAACGTCTCGTGAATCCACGAAATCCACGTGAAATTAATTTGAACGAATCTATTTAAATATAAATTATCGACTGAAAATAGAAAATTCACAGAATGGATTTATTAAAAAATGTATGCAGCGAATATTCTAATGAAATACCTTATATTCTAATAAAGTACCTTAATGAAAATTTCGGTATCTTAAGCAATGAATTTCAAAAATCATTCAGCATTCACCGCGTCTTTTAATTTCTACGCCAAGTACGCGTGGGTAGCACAGTAGTCAAAGTGTTAAAGGAATGGGCGAGTTTGCGAGCACGAAAAAGACAAGAGTAGATGGGAAAGAAGAAGGAAACGAGATGAGCCGAAGGAAAATGAAGTCAAGGCACTCGGGGACTCGCATTCGACGAAAATCATCCCTTCAGCAACTGAGTTCCTTAACCCTGTTGCTGTGATGTATGCGAATCGATATTTTTTACTAAGTTTAAATTTAAAAGTTAATCAGTTAAACAAAGTTTAGAAAAAAATAATGTCATTTATATGACATACAGCCTATATGCATTCACATAAAATACATAAAATACTAAAAGTATAAACCTTCAATTTTCTATATGGATCTACGACACATTTAAAATAAAAACTTGTACTCTGTTAACGCAGTGAAAGGGTTAAAGACCGATCGAGTCCCCGCCCCGTCCAAAATCATTCCTCAGTGTCTTTTCGCTCGTGCTCGCCTAGATACACGTTTACTATCGATAGAAACGTCACGGGTTCACGTTATTTCTCGGCTACTCTAAATTCAACGCGTCCTCAAACGCATTTGCGGCTCACTTCTTTTAACAATAACATCTCTTAGGCAGTATGCAAGGCTTCTACGAAGCGCCGCGTCGCTTTCTTCGTTGAACCGCCATCGCGTTCAGGCTTTTATCGTGCTCCTAGTCACGCTTCTCTTCTCCGACAAGTAGTTTTCAACGTCGACTTCGAACGCTGACGCGAAACGTACGAGAATTGTTTCTGTCGGAGGCGTTTCTGATCACGAGAGTCGGGTGTAAGTGACCGTCATCGTAAACTGTGATGGTCAATTGAGTGGTGCGTACGCGAAGGATCGCGATTCAATCTCGTTAAATACTTTTCTCGAGTCTACTCGGTCCGAGACTGTTTCTTCTCTTGGACGCAACCGGGGGTAGCATCGTTGACGGCCTGGTTGTCCGGCTTGCCCTGGGTGGAAAGCTCGGGTCACCAGGCTTCCGTGTATCTGACGTCGAATTCTTGTAGAGATGGGAGACATTTCTTCAGGGACTCGAATGTCTGTATGGACAGCTTGGTGCTGTTCAGGTTCAGCTTTCTTAAGCTTGTCATCGCTGTGTAGAAGAATTACTATTTAGCATGGAGTCTTCTTTTTGTTCGAGGACTATACAGTGCACTTCAGTAAATTATATATTATTATTAAAAATTCGGGAAACGTGATATAATATTTCAATAAAGAAACGACAACAACAAAGATTCTGTCGAAACTTTGAAGAAACACCTATACGTCAAGGTATAAAGAAGCATCAGATCTAACTGTAATTAGAAGTGCTTATCGAAAATAACTGTGAAAACTTGATTAACTGTTTCATTTTAAATAATATATAATCATTTTGCAAACACTGTAACTTACAAATGCTTTGGCTATTCTTTAGAATATTTTTTAGAATCCTACGTTATGTAACTTTTATGAAATGTACTGTACAAATGAGACGACACTTACAGGCCAAAGTGGAGATTCCTTTGTCCGAAACGGGCGTCTCGCAGAGATTTAGAACCTGCAACTTCTGTAGGTGTTCGCTGATCATTTGCAATCCCGCGTCGCCGAATTGCGTCGCCCACAGATTGAGGTATCTAAGAGCCGGCAACTTGATCAGCTGTTCGGCGCAAGCAGACGTCACCGAAGTGAAGGCCAAACTGAGGCATTCCAGGTTGCCGAGAGCTCCTCCGCCCAGAAGAATAGCAACGTCAGCATCCGTCGCTCGAACTGGCAACGTTAGCTTCCTCGGACCGCCCTTTTGTTGCTATTTCGAAACGATAAACATCATTTTTTCTCAAACAACATTCACATTTCGTAATAATTTAAAAAATTACAGAATTCGCTGAAGTTACTCGTAACACGACTAAAAAGTAATGATATCAATAGAGGTAAAATATATCGATCTATAGGGTAGGTTAATAATAAGGTTTTTTTCTTTCCATTACAATTAAAACGTTTTCTTTTCAACCCTTACGTATTGATTATTAATCTTCAATAAGCTCTTTGCTAATTACTATTATTAAAGTGTTAAGTTAGAATTTTAGGAACATTTATTAACAAATCCTTAGATGTTTATCATTAATCTTCAAGAAACTCTTCAATAATTACAATCTTTACACTGTTAAGTTACGATTTTTGGAACATTTATCAAGAAATCCTTACATATTGATCATTAAACATCGATAAACTATTCAATACCTGTTGTTACCAGGACAAAGTGTCGAGTAACAGTTTCAAAAGAAAAAGTGATCTTGTAAATCCAAGAACCTTAGGAAATGAAGACAAAACAATGACTTAAGTTTGTTGTCGTATGCTATACATCAAGATGCAGACTGCTTGCCGCCACTTAGTCGCGGAATTTCAATGTCGCCAAGTGTACCAGCACAAGTCTCATTACTTTGTCGTCGGGTTGTGTACTCTATGAAGCAGTTTCATAGTTTACTCACCAGCTCTTGCAGATTTCTTTGCCTCTGGCAAAGTGCAGCGTAACGATCTTTGCCAGACGTCGTCGACTCGAGTGCGTTCACTATTTGCAGTCGGGCCTCCTCGTTTGGCAGCAGGTGCCATTCCAACATCAAGCAAAGAGCCTCTTGTGCGGCCTCGCATCCTCTCACGGCCAAAAGTATGCAATCGTCTCGCGCCTGTTTCACCAGCGAGCCTATAAACCTCTTCCGACGACAACAGCAGGCCAGCAAAGTTGTCAACTGATCGGGAACAGGACAAACATGAGCGCCAGACAGTTAATAACTAGATTACGGAACCTCGAGTATTTATGGCTTATTAAAATCTTCAGGAAATTGTACAATATAAGATCCGATAAAATCCACTACAGTTTTATTGTGTCCTCGATTTACTGAAAACATTGGTGAAGGAAAGAAGATGTCTCTGAACTTTAAGTTTCTTTAAGTTTTACAATATGAAACAAAATTTGGAAGAACTATACAACAAGTCGTTGTGACTAAAATCTTATGTTACTATAATTATTATAATATTAACAAAATAATAATATAATAATAAAAAAGATTATTATAATAATAATTTTATGTAAACGTAAATCTTCTTCACGAAGTCTTTAACGACAATATAACAAAGTTTGGAACAATAGTTATATTTATTAAGAAATCACTAATATTCGAGATGAAGATAAAATAAGCAATTGGTAATGGATTGTAAAATACATACCATTTCACCGAACAGCTCTCCTTGATCAGGACAAGCCGGACTGGATGGCACGGCAACGTGGATCCAACCAGGCCGTGGTTCCCTAATCGGCAGTAGGAAGCGATGAACAACGCATCTTGAATCTTTTGCCAAACGTCTCACTACACACAACAACACCGACTGTTGAACTTCCTTCGTAGCCAAAGCTTCTTCCGGGAAGGGTACCGGTTGCAGCAGAGCACCGAAACCTGGTCGCCAGTCAGCGTACTCTGATCTGAAAAATATCACCCGTCAGGTCTCTGATGAAACATTTATTTTGTAACCAATAAATGCATAAAATAAATTGTACTTTATTTTTGTTGTTGTTGTTGTTATTATTATTATGATTATTATTATTATAATGAAAGTTTATTTTACTGCACAAAACACCATCGTACAATATAAATATTACAAAAACTTATTTATTATTTAAAACGTATCATTAGTACTATATTAAAATTGTTTAGGAAAGAATTTGATGCTTATAAAGTGTTAAAAATTTGATGAGATTATTATCATCATTATTATTATTACTATTGTAACTCCTAAATTGTTTCTAAGCTATAGGTAATAACAAATTCTTATGAGATTTTTTACTTAACTCTTTGATTTGTTTTAGATCATAAAAGAAATAATATGCAATATTTCACGATATATACATGTTTTATATTTATTAGTTTCCCAGAATATATGATAATTTGTAAATTGTACGAAATATTTTACAGTATTTCTTCCAAGATTTAAGAAATCTTTTGACCATCATTCAACATACATCAGGTCACTTTTGGCCCTTGTTGTTCAGAGTAGAGGAAAGGTTGCACATTCTTTTACATTTTTTAACACATTGCTTTCCTTTCTATGTTATAAACATTATTAGATAATATTTTATATAGAATAGTTATTTATAGTTATATTTTATAACTAAAGCGTGCATAATAAAAGTTCTGATATAGGTCAAAAGTGACCTTGTGTCAGCCTGCCGCGTCGATATTCTCGGTCGGCCGTTCGAGGGTTAATATACTTCTGTTTCCAGTAAATAACTCAAGATATAATAATTTTAACAAGAGAACACGCCAACATGACAAACACAATTTTTGACAAGACTTAACAAAAAGTAGTTCTTACAAAAATATTTGTGGAGTATTTTTTTTATTATCAATCATCATTTATATTTAAGGGTACAAAAAAAAAGACGACTCGGCTAAAATAAAAAATCAAAATGTAAGATCCACTCTGGTATCTTTCAGATATAAGTTTTTTTCAAAATAAAAGATTGTTCTGTATTATTATTTTATCAATTTTATATTTCAATTTTAAATTTAATTAAATTTTTTGTATTATTCAGTGTCATTTCTTTTTTCTCTATAATGTAAGTTAACAAGAATCACTCGGCACTTACGCGACATTCAAAACGAACAGATAGCAATCCAGTGGGGGCAAAGAATGCGGAGTTGAAGATTCATCATTTCCCAGCGTCGAATGACGGGCTACGTCGAATCTGAAACCAAATGCAATCAAATAACCTTGCGGTTGAATAAAAAAACGATGACAATGAAACTAAATTGCTTAACAGTGCAACATTCAATTATTCCAGTTATAAGAAAACACCAAATGTATAAAGTAAACACTACTCAATATTTTTGTGTGTATATTATTTCGTGATGTATTAGAGACAACAGAAGCCATCATATTAGCCTATTATCACCCTCAAAAATCAGAAATTCAGTATTTATAATTCAATTATTAGCCATACAGAAATTCCTTTATTGTTCATTGTGTTATTCTGCAAAACTTCAGTTAAAAATAGAAGATCATATAGTCTTCTTTTCAAAGTAAACTATTCTATAAATGTGACTATGTGCTTTTAAAATAATACAAACGATAAAAAACGCGAACAAGTTCCTTGGACTTTCATTAGGCTTGATATATCGTGGTTCTGATTCTCAAAAAGTGTTCGCGAGATTAATAACAAAAAAGAGACTGTTACGTAACAAAAGAGGACTATTGTATTCGAAACTATCAAGTAACACGTCGCAACTAATAGACAATGACTATTAATCATATATAGTATAACAGGCCTAAAGAGACTTAAAAATAATACACAACACAGACCTTCCAAGAAGAGAAACTAAACTTTCATAATCAACTCGATCCTTGAAACCTTAAGAAATGTCTCTTTCAGGCATTTCTTAGCTACCAGAAATTATCAGCGTGCATTATCTCGCGATCACATTATACGATACATCGCGCAATAAATTGCATCACTTGCTGAATCATCTTATCGTGCATCTTCTCCAAAGAAACGTGACAAAGCTTGTTCTTAAATAAAGCTGTTTGATTACTACGCAGTACAACCAACCTATGAAATATTGCAGCAACGCAGACCGACACCAAGTTAGGTAATACTCTAGGATGTGGACAACCGCTTCCTGGCCCATGAATAGAAGCTATGTAGTTCCTAATCGTTTTTTCGCCGTTCTCCGCCTCGTACAAGGCAGCCACGAATGCTTGAAGGAGTTTCCTCATATCCGGAGACTTGCCGAAGTCCACGGTGTGCTTCAGACATCTCGTGATAGCTGGACTGATCAGAGAAACCAAAGAGGATCTCGGATGCTGTTGCATCAGTTTGATGAGAACCTTGGCGAGATTAGCCGGAAGCGCGACTTTCTCGAGGAGAGGAGATACGACATATAGAACGATCTCTGCACGGTGCTTTTGATCAGTTTCGGAATCAGATGTCTTCTCGTCGGGCATCTCTTCGCTCCGATCAGTTTCTTCGGTGAGCGAATCCTCTAGTAGCTTAGCCGCAGCTTCTAACGGCACGACAGTTACCCTTTCGTCTTGAAGCGTTGTCCATAGGGCGAAGTCCACCATTGATTTTAATTGTTTCGCCATCACTTCCTCTTTAGCGTTTATTGACACCAGCTGCTGATACTTGAAGATACTCCACTGGAAATGAATGATACAAGGATCGATACAAATCTTAGGGTAGTAGCAAAAGTTTGAAAAAATGAAGAAAGATGAGCCAAGCGATAGTTACTTGAATTCTCTTTTATTTAGAAAATATGTGTTAGAAAATAATACATTGTACAATAATATATTGTATTGTATAAAGGGTCTTGCTTTTTCTTTTCAGTATAGCGTTTGTATTATAACAAACGAGTAAATGGATACACTGAAAGATGATAGAAAGTTGTCGAACAAAATGTTTAACACACGGTTCAATGAAGTTTAATGGAGCGAAAGTTGTTTTTAAATTTCACTTAAAAATCCGACTGTCCTCGAAATTTAAAAAATTTAATGAAAAGAAGTATATAATTCGTTTCTTTCTGTATCTTTCAGTTTATTTAAAAATATTCTCTTTTAACGGTGAATTTACGTCGTTCCAAGGGTTTAGACGTTCCATAAAAAGATAACATTTTACATAACAATTTACCTTCCATAATATCGAATGATACCATTGGTCCCTTGTGTAAGCGTTGTTCGCTTGGAGAAGAAGAGAGCTGTCCGGCAACACTATGCTCAGGCAGTTTTTGTAAGTGGGATCCCATCTAGCGACAGCATATCTTCGTATATCAGACATGTTGCTGTACGGTATCGGATGCTGAAGAAATCCCGTGGGCTGGAAGCAAATATTGACCTCGCACTGAGTACACGGAGAAAAGGAAATCGTTGCCCGCGTGTAAACCAAAGAAAAAGGGAAATGCACATTGATGCACATTGATGGAACAAACAAAATAGTTTCCATCTTGAAGCTGCGCTCGTGTGATTTCCTTTCTGACACGTGTATCTATGACCACTCTATTTTCCATGATTTATTTCAATTCATCGACCGGTTGATTTTTTAATGATGAATACTTAAAAGTTTTAATAACACTTACATAACGAAGATTTTACAGTGATGAACGCAACACAAAATACATTAATGTAGAGATTATGACATAATAAAGTGACAGAATTATTAATGGAATAAAGAAAAAAAATGAGAAGATTGGCCAAAGATAATTGCGAATACGAGTGACAAATTAATGATATCAATTGATACGATATCATACCAACGACATGTTTATTACGTGTTTCTTGTTTACTCTCATGAGTGCTACGTTTTCTTAGCAGATTCACGAAACAACGTTAAAATCGAAGATGATATGAAATGTCAAGCTTCTATTTATATAAATATTGAAAACGATTTTATATAGATTGTTGTAATACCTATATATAATAATATGTAATTATACAACCAAACCGTTAAAGCTTGGCACAACCTGTTTCTGAACACCCTACACAGCACGGTCGTAAACTGAGCCAAGAGGTAGAGCAGTTGTGCCTCGAATTGAGACCTTGCGTTTTATCCTGGTTCATACGAACTGAATTGAACAGTAGTTCAATGTTCCTTTTCTTCCAATTCAATATAAACTTCTATAGAAATGAAAGATGAATCCTTATTATTGCAAATGTTAATTGAAATTCATATTCTACATGAATATTCCAGTAGCTATTAATATCGCCCGAGGGAGATATCAAAATAGAATATCACATTCAGCAGCGTCAATAAGATTAATTTGTCAAAGAAATACTGGTACGTCATACAGCATTGACGGAAAGTATTTGCACTTCATAAAATTGCTGAATGAAGTTTCTTTTCGAACAAGACGATGGAAACCTATAGATTAAAGTTTGTGAAAGAATACCTGAAATGGTAAAATACCAAAATTGTTAAACGGCCAACAAGATCAATCGACTTGAAAATTATCGAAAATTGTCAAACACCAAATTCTAAGAGTAGATCATTGAGCAGAACATTAATTTCAAAATTACTGAAATCTTTTTAAACTGCCAATTTCAAAATACATTACAATAAATGTAAGTATTAACGTGTACTGAAGCGATATACTAAAACAGTCCAAATACCGAAAGCAAAGTAACACGTAGCTCCAAAACTCGAAAAAGTTATATTTACATGGTATGCTCTCTCTGTCGCGGAATGTAGCATTCTACATCGCTTCGCGAAGTCAAACATTCAATTCCACCTACACACGCTATTTGCTCGAGACAATCAGAAAATCTCGATCGTGTGAAATCACGCTTAAACTATGCCGAAAAGTCACACAACTACTTGCTTTCGCGACATTAAAACGCTTACCGTTTTAGAGGAAATACAGGTGTCATTCAGATAAAGATGATGCGTCTCCCATCTTCTTAAAAACTTGCTCGACAAAATTTTCTTAACTAGCGTCTTCGAATGATTCAAGAAACAAAGCTGAATGTCTCCCTCCTCGATCGGTTTGAATCTAGGTCCAACTGGCCCGGAGCTAGGACTGGAACTCGAGGAGCCGCTGCTAGGTGAGCACCCAGCACTGCGCCCTTCCAAATTCGGACAAGATCTAGCCGCTGGCAAACAGAACGGGCTGTCCAAGCTTTCGGGTGCCAAGCTGTCTAGCCGAGAGAATTTTTCGCCGTTGAATGAGCCACATGATTTACCGGAAGCCGCGTCGTCGTTCGACTCGTTATTGCCAGCTGAGCACAGCTGGGGTGAACTAGTGCTGGTCATCTCTTGCCTCATCGCTCCTCCGTTTACGCAAAGAAAGTTATAATAAGGTACCAGAGATGAAGACAATCCTGCGGTCAAAGGGCCAGCAGGGCTCAAAGGCAACGAAGAACCTTCCTCCGTCTCTGTTTCCGTCCCTTGATGATAACCGTTTTCAGTCTCCGATTCTGGGAACGCATTCTGCAAAGAGGATATATCGTTTTCAGACGCAGCAGCGGTTGGTCTTCGGTTTCTAGGGCTCTCGTCGGGCTCCGTGGAGTCCACGCAGTCGATCAGCACTGAGGGCGATGACTTGGTGAACAAGGTTGCGGTGTCGCCGGTGATCGTGTCGTAATCCTCGCCGTGTTCCCTCGAGCAGGGTGATTCGATTCCAATTGATTCATTCGCTAGAGACGGAGAAGGCGATGGTGAGGGTGACGGAGACGTGGATATAGAGGGAAACCGAGTTTCCTTGTTGCTGGAGTTCGAGGACTCGTTGGATCTCAGACGCAAAAGGAACTTCCTGCATCGGTTGTTGCCCTTCGGTGATCTTTTCTTCGGCGAGAAAGAATCCGCCGGTGATGGGTCCCGATCGTCGTCCTGCAACAGCTTCTTGCGATCGCTGTTGTCGTCCGGTCGGGGCGCCGTCGTCGACACCGAGAAATCTGAGCCCGGGGACAAAGACACCGGGTCCAGGTAATCCGCTTTCACGTCGGGCAACGTGTCGGTGCTGCTGCAGTCGGAGATCGAGGGCTCTTGATCAATGTACCCGATAGAGGAGTTGGAGCCCTCGCTGGTCGCTTCGGATAGCCTTCTATCTCTGGATTTCGCCGCCGAGGAGGATTTCGTCGGTAGAATCCCGCCGATGGGCGAAGCGTTCGGCTTGCCGGAAGACAGGGGTGACGCGAGCACGCGGGAAGCCCGCGTGAACGGACTTTGAAAACAGAACATCCTCTCGAGTGGTCGACCCGTGACTGTGCGCACGCAAAGCCCGCGGATCGAGCGTTGTCCGCGCTGCTCTTCCTTCCGTTTCCCGTGTTTCGCTTTCCCTCGATTCAAGTTCCTCCTATCCTACTGACCTAGTTTCCGCTGGCTCGTACTTCGCCTACTCGATATTCGCGAAGAAAATTTCGGAAAACGGGTGGCCCGTTACCAAGATGGTAACCGTCCCAAATTCGTATCACTGGGCAAAGGTGTCCTCTCGTCTCTCGATTAAGGCTCGGTCGGAGCTCTCCCGTGTGGCAGCTCTCTCCGCCTAGAAACGATCGTTCACCATGTCTTCCTCGTTCACGCGAGCCAGCAACGGCAGCCAGCAACGACAACGTCTAACGAACCTTCCCGCTGTCGCATACCGATGCCGAGAGCGGAACACGTCAAGCCGCCGTGCGCGATTTTTTCTTGACACGCTGCAACGGGTCACGACACATTTTGACGCGGAATCGAGCCAACCGACCTCGGCCACAGCCGCGTCGCGCCGGATTCCGTTTCCAGCGCGCACCAACCAAGCCTCGGCCGGAAACTGGTCCACTCGGGTCTGCGGCACTTTTTCCCTCTCGCGGTTGATGCGCGGCACCGAAATGGCTCTGCTCGTTCCGTTTCCGCGGTGTCCGGAGCCGCGATGCCGCCGTGTCCTCTGTCCCAGAGTCGATGAACGGGGCCGCGGCGTTCGAACGGAAACGAACGGCGGACGAGAGAAAAACGGTCAACGGAGAGAGGAGAGCACGAGAGACAGAGGGAGGCGTGTTACCCGAGCGACACTCGAACGTCTGACACGGTCGCGAACCGGGCCAGGTGGGGACGCTGGGGTTGAGGAAGAGAGGGCGTCGCGGTGGTCGGCGTCGCGACGCCGATCAATGACTAGACCAGTCGCGAGTTTGCCTCCAATTATCGCGTTATCGCCGCTCTTCTCTCCCTTTTCCCCCTCGGCTCCTACGCTTCCACCATTCTTCTCGTTGATCCCTCTCGCGATGCTTTCTTCAAACCGAAGGTTCTTCCTGGAACCAGGCACAAGCAAGAACGTTCGTCTCCGTGGCTTATCGGCGCTTTTTTTCGTCCCCGAGGAACAGCATGCGAAATGTATTTCAGTCTTCGTATTTCTTGATACACGTTCCCCCAGCGAGATCGACGATAGTAGGAATTCTCACGCAATGGTCCGAGTCGAATCGTAAATTCTGCTGGATCACGCCTACGCCGTTCCCACGATAAAAATCATTGACACCGCTGCCTCGTGACAAGTTTACGTGCATCGTACGTACGGTCGATCCTACCTGCCACGTTACGTCAAAAACCGACGCGCATTGGTAAAAACCGATCTACGTAACGGACATTGACGTACGTAAGTAGGTGAGCATGTACGTCGCCTTCGCCTTCGCCCGTGACTCGTTTATCACCTTCCTCGCCTTGATCGCAAACTTAAGAGGAACACGACGAACGATCAAAATCGTAACGAAAGTAGCAACTGGTCGAGACGGACAAGACACTTTGGCTACGGTCAACCGAACTCGTTGATCCGGGAAAGGGAGCAGGTCTGTTAATCCTTGAGTTGTCACGTGTAACAGTACGGTGTCCGAGCGAGTCGCCGGTTCTACGATTTATTAGCGTAATCAGCCGCCAACTGTTTAAATGCCCGCTCGTGAAACGGCGACGAACACTGGAAACCAGGATGTACTTAGAGGACCAGGGTCTCTGTCCGGATGGAATCCTTTGACGTTATTGTTTAATTGCTGCCATTGACGTCAATGGTCACGCATAGTGATCATTCGAAACTTTTTTAGAAAAAGGAAGGCAAATGATTTAGCATATCGTGAACGATACGACGAATTTCAGTTACGACGCATAGATGGACTTGTTGTCACGATTTTGAAGAGATTCGGTTACTGCCTACGCTTTTTTCGGTTGCTTCATCGAGACGATTTCACTGCGAACTAGGGGACAGCTATGATAAAATAGTCCTCGGGCGCCTCGTAGTCGATCGACTGAACGTTATGTAATCGGTTTCGGATAAAAAGAAACGATTTTCTTCTAAAATTTTCAAACGTGACCCATTTTCAATGTGAACTGTAGCGTTCGCGACACACACACGCACTGTCAACGGACACCGCGCACACAACGGCCAACGATTCGCTGTATAAAAACAAAATCAGACGGCGAACTGGTGTTCGTAATAACGTGACTCGGTTGACGTTGCGGTTCGCGGAATCTTCGCGGGGAGAACCGCACACGTCCACACCACGACCACGACTGTAACACCATACCCGATAATAACAGCGTTCAATTTCCCTTTCAATAAACCGAAGATATCGTATCCCCAAGGTGACGCTTTAAGCTGCTGTTCCTCTAGCCTTGGAAAATGAAAAACGTTACTATGAAACGAAATTTTTATACGATTAAATTGCTGATTTTGTGCGCTCGCCACATAAGCAATCCGGAACAAGATGTAACGAACGGATTAGCGAAAATTTTATTCCGTTTAAACTTTAATAGAACGCTTGATAATATAATAATACAATAATAGGCGAATTTTTTATTCATTTCGATTTCTATAAAATTTGCAGAAACCTATATCCATCTATATATTCGCAGTGTGTAAGTCGTGATTTACAGTGGAAATCTGTGCGCTTTAATAACAAGAAAACCATCGTAGAATGGTGGAAAATTCCCTTTTATCCATTATTCGCGAATTGTATTTTGGTTAGCGGAGAAAACGCAAGGATTTTTATCGAGAATTGTATAAATATTGGTACAACACATCAGTTTAAAGAAAAATATTTTCTTTTTACTTTCTTCTTCAGTAGTATACAATCTCTGGAAAAATTTGTATCGTGCCTGTACAAAACGGTAATATTGCATTTTATACGTTATAAGAAATGCACGTAAAAATAATTTGTAACATTATGTCTCGTGTACGGCAACTGTTCTTATATCACAAAAACAGAATATGTAAATAATCGGTCTTTGCTCCGAGTTCTTAGTCAAACACTGGCATACATTAAGACGTACCAATCCTGCCATTACTGAGTTTTTTCGGGTTCTCGCAGGCGTCCAATTCAAATTTTTTTTTTCCGCCAGCCATCCAGCTTTCTATTTCGTCGACTCTGCAATTAAATTACATATTTTTCAAATTCGAACAATAATAAAGTGTTTTAAATAAAATATTTTAAAAACTTTGTTACTGTGGAAAACCATTTTTTTCCATATTTCGTCGAGCTGAATAAATTTTCTGATACGAATGTCTAAAAATATTTTAAACTTACGTGCGTGGCACGTCTGTTAAATTTTGTACTCCAGTTTCCGTTACAAGAACATCATCTTCAATTCTAATACCACCCCAGCCACGAAATCTCGTCAATTCGTCAACAACGATGAACTTCGATTGATCCGGATTGTTCAATGCTGCATCTAACAACTATCATCGTTACAATTAATTTCTTTTGATCAGTTGTATAAGATCTAAATCTTATTATTATTTAATCATAATATTAACTATCTGTTTACCTATCAATAATTATTAGATTGCAAATATTTATACATAAAGTAGTTTCTATAATATGTAAATTAACATATCTCAAGCAAACTTTTGCACTTACGCAGTCGATAAAGTAGCAACCTGGCTCTATCGTTAAAACCATGCCGACTTCTAAAATTCGACTGGTTCTCAACTTTCTTAAACCTGGAGCAGTTGAACGTTCAGGATACCCTGGAAGATATCCACCAACGTCATGAACGTCCAATCCCATTAAATGACCAAGACCATGTGGTTGAAAAATTTCGTTCAATCCTGCCTTTATCATATCATCGACATTGCCTTTCAGTAATCCTCCTTCTTTCAATGAAGTCAACATAGTTTTATTCGCCAATAGATGCATATCTGTCCATGCTACGTTAGGTTTCGCAGCGTTCATTACCGCATCACGAGCTGCAAGCACCGCATTGTACACCATTTTTTGATCTTCAGTAAATTTCCCATTCGCTGGAAAACTACACGTAATGTCGGCTGCATATCCACAGTAGTTTCCACCCATATCAAACAGACTGGTATAAAATCATAAAATATTAGTATGATATTTATTAATATGACTTATCCAAGTTTTATAGAAACTGACCACATGTCTCCATCTTTTATAACTCTATTATTGGGAGCACCCGCGTGTCCATAATGTAATATCGATGCATTATGTCCAGAGCCACAAATGCAAGTATAGGACACATGTCTGCAACCTCCTACAGAATACACATAATGCATGAAAGCTGCTTCTGCTTGAAATTCTGCCAGTCCTGGTTTTACCGTGCGCATAACACATTTGTGAGCATCAGAGCTTATCTTAACCACGTACTTCAACACCTCTATTTCCAGTGGGGACTTTATGACTCTGCTACAAATTAAGATATTACCATTTTTATCAAAAAAATTATTTTACTATCATTTATAAGATTTTATTTCATATAATCTATAACATGAACTATATGGTTAATGACAATTTCTGCTGTACATACACATTAGTATGAAAATATATATGTAAATGTTACAATGCCTCTTCCACGGAATCTAAACTTTTTAACAAGTAAGATGATAATTTATCAGATTGACTCCAAAGTTCTTGTAATATTACATAATCCACTGCCATTACTCGAAATCCTAATTTCCTGATATGTCTTTTTCTCATTATTTGAGGCCCTATTAAATGATGCGCATTTCTACAATAATATTCCGGCAAATAAACCAAAACTGCAGTATTTATGTTTTTTTCTTGTCCATTTAAATGAAGGACAGGGGTTGACTCCATAAACGGATGTATTAAAATATCAAGTATGTAGAAGTTTATGATTGGCAGTCGATTCAGGATCACATTCTTACTCAATCTGTGTTCACCCCCAACTAGAGATGCTAATGGCTGAAAAATCATATTAACTGTTCTTCTAATTCGAGCATCTAGGAATAGTGGCTTTTCTGTTCTTCCCATTGGAACATGTAAATGCTGATAACCCATGCACTCCAAAGACATGCTGGTATCTAACAGTTGCAGTTTGCTTTTTATACGGTCAAAGAAAATGGAATGACTCCTTAAATGAAACTTATGGAGCAACTGTGAGATAAATATTTTGTCTAAGAATTTTACAGGACACTTTTCTAAATAGATACAAGAAAGAAGAATATCTAGGGCATCATCCAGCTTTAAATCATGAAACTTCACCGATAATACTGTGTCAAACGTCTCCCAAAATTGAACAGGATTTGGTGGTTGCACATGTAATACTCCAAATGGTATAAGAATAAATGGCAGCAAAGATGCTGGTACACTCATGCCATGTTTTATGAAATATTCTCCGCATTCCGACAAAATACTTTTATTTCTAACTTTCAAACTTTTACAGTAGTTCATAATGGCTGCTATTAAGTTTGAATCTTCAATCTGCAATGCTTTAGATTTCAAATATTCCTGTAAGGTACTTTCAATTCTATCATCTATATATTCTTTTGCAATTAAACTGTGTAAAAAATTGATTAAATCCTTCTCCGAGGATGTATTCATGCTTATGCTTGCCCACTTACTGGCATTTATTAAACATTTTTTTGCAGAAATATTATTGTGAAAACAGTCCAATATTTCCGCGATTTGGGTGCCAGTTAATTTTAGCCAATAATCGGATAGTTTCCTTTCCAAAATGAGTTTCACCATGTTTTTACTTTGATTAAAGTGTTTCAGCATTTTAAATAACGCAACTAACGTATATGAATTAATCTCTTGTTCTCTGAGTAAAATACCAACCCATAATGTATCTATGCATTTACGATATACAGAATCTTTGTATGTTGACAAAATCTTTATCACATTTACTAATTGTATAGGTGTAAACTCTCCATCTGTAGCACGGCTTAAAGCTTCATCGCATAACCAATCTCTGTATATATTTTTAGGGGGACTGACTTTATCTTTCTTGAATATAATTAATGCTTGAAGTATCATTTCACTATTATGACTATTAATAATTAATTTAAGCAATTGTTTCATCATAACGTTTCTTGTGGTGTTATCTATTTCAAATTGTTTATTTCTTTGTGTCCTCTGCTTAGACCAAGTATTTTCTAATTCTATTAGTTTTTTCAATCCTTCCAAAGCTATTCTGCAATTAATTTCGTGCGTTACTTTGTTTTCTACTAGAGAATATACACCATCAGCTGTATTAAACAATTCCAATTCTTGCAACGCCTCTTGTATATCTGTATCTTTAAGACATTCAGGATCAGAGCAAAATAATATTGCAGTTCCTTCGTCTATTTCAATATCTATTCTCCGATTCAATAATCTATTCTTTCCTTTGACGTTATTTTGAAAATTTGACATACCTTTATTATGAAACTTAAGCTGGTCATTTTTCTTAATTGTATTATAAAGCCTGTGGTTGGTATCAATAGACTGGACACTTTGTTTATCTTTATCATTATATAATGCTTCCACATTGTTCATTTTTCTGACAATTAAAGGCACTTCTTGAATCTCTGCTCCTTCTTGAACAAAAATGCTAGTCTGCGTTAAAACTCGTTGCCCAATACATTTTCCAGAATTCGATTCGTACCATCGTTTGCTCAGTTTAGAAATCAAGGATGAATGCACATGCATACGCATTAAAAACTTTGCCCGTATATGACCAGCTACAATCATCTGCATAGAGCATACAAGCATCCAATAAAATTTTAAATCTACTAATATATTCTTCGACATTGCTTTATCTATTCTACCTTTTCTAATAACAGTAATTAAACACAGAAAATTATAAAACAACGTACAGTAACTTTTATGGAATGCCAGTGGAATTTTCTTATTTGGATTACAAAATGTAATATACATATGATCTTGAAATTGCCTTTGAAAATACTTTCAATTTAACAACTGAATTCTGCCCTTATTAAATAATGATTAAAAAACCTCGTATAAAAGGTTTATGTCAAATATACAGAAGGAAGTATGATGCAATTGAAAGTGATTATAACGTGCGATATCGATATCGATATCGATACAATAACCTTATCAACAGCTAATCTATTCTTCAAACTTTCTAACTTACTTCATAAAATGTTATCAATATCATTTAAAATAGTAAATTCAAGAATAACAACATCCGTACGTTCGCAATTACTTAAATACTGCTAATAGATAGCTTTAATTCTATTACTTCTTTCCTGATTCAAGGAAACTCATTTTTTATCATTTACATGATTTAAATTAAATTAATGGGTGTTAGTTTTTTTATGTACATTCTACTATAATACATACCACTCACATATTTCTGGATATAAACGTTTTTTATCTACATTGAACCTGAAAATTAATACAAATAAACAGAAGTTTCATAAAATATCCATATATTTAAACATAAAAGATACAACTATTACTTACTGTTCAATACCATCAAAAGTTAATTCTTGAGTTTCCAAACCACTATCACTGTTGCGACCATGCTATAAAATTATCAAAAGTACAATAAAGTAAAATTATTTGTCTTCAAAGAATGTAAAAATTATTCCTAAATACAAGAGTAACTTACTAAAGTAAGAAGAAGAGTTGCTGCCTTTTTCTTTAATGTTTCAGCTATTTCATCGGTATAATAAACTTCATCTACAGCATACCGCTGTTTAAAATCCTCCAAAGTATACAACTTCCCCTCCCAAATTGCATATTCTGCTGGTAAACGTGGGACAAACAAAATTGAAATTCCTGTTAGACTAATAGCACCAAAACACCCTGGTTCTTCTATACCAAAAGACCATTGAAAAAATGATTCCTATTGAAAATATTATCTTAAAACACTTTTGTCTCCCAGTAATATATCATAAAAGCAGGAAATAAACTTACCTGTCTAAATGGCCAATTTATATCTGTATCATTAAATGAAATTTCATTTCCACCTTGAAGGACAATAAAGCAATCCGCAATTGGAGTTTCTGTTCTAGATTTAATACGTTCAATTAAACGTTTACGATTATTTTGAAACAAAGACATAGGCACTTTGAATGTATGATCACCCCTTCCAAAGTAGGATTCTAATTTATTTCTGAAACATTTAATTTAAAAAGTCATTAAATACATAAAACATTGTTATTGTAGAAATTGATAGTCCATAAATAAATTTTAAACCTTTGTTAAAATTCAGACAATTAAAAATTTATTAAATTCACTAAACATGAGAAAAGTAATATAATAAGCAGTGTATTATTATCATAATTATCTTTTTGAAATTATATGGAAGTAATTGTATAACATATCAGTTAATAGTAATTGTAGTGTTATAAATAAATACTGTAATTATTCAAATCACTAACAAACAAAAGAATACAAAAGTAAAAAGTAATAAACATAAAATGGTCAAAACAGAATACATCAACCAAAATATGTACTGCCAAACACGCAGTAGACGATAAATCATTTTCTACATGCTTATAATACTCATATTTAGAACTAAAAATAACTGATTTCTATTATAAACATTTGCAAAAGATAAATAAATTGTTAATACATACATATGGGCATTGTCCGCCATGTTATTTTGAATTGTTCGACAATTTATTTGTACTTGTCAAATCGTTCTTTAAAATTCTTTAATAATTAAACTGGGCAATGTTTTTAATACGCAAAGAACTGTTTGTTCAATATCGAAATATTAAAATTCGTCTTGTATTATTCTGATCGGTTCCGTTACACGTATGCTTGGTTCACTTTCAATTATGTTATATCTTATCTGTGATGTTGCTCAGTTTGACGCATCACGTGAAAAATTCGAACTAACTCATGACGTTTCTTAATTTTTTTCGGTAGAAAATAAGGTTTAATAGCATTCATTTTTATTTCTCATGGATTGTTGAACATTATATAACGTTATTCCGAACTAGCAAATGTCTAAATTCCCACCACTAAAAAGATAGAGTTAAAAACTATGTTATCTTTATTACTTACATTTTCTCAATGATAGTGAATTAATGACTCAACAACTTTTTTCTTATTTAACCTCGGAATTTGATTATTCAATCTACAACATGATATCTAGCAGTCTAAATATATTCTACAATATGTCTTTCACCTCAAGTAAACATTGCATCATTCGCATATTATTTTAGTTTAGCGTGATCTCTACTACGTATGTAGCTGTTTCAGAGTTTCGTCAAGGGAATGCTATTTATTTGCGAAATCTATAACATAAAGTAGAGTGAATGTAATTGATAATATACAGACGTCATTCCGTGCAACAAAAATAGTACAACTAAAATAATTTTAAGTAGAGCTATATATATATAAACGTATAGCCCGTTTACGCATGCACAGATATTGTCGTTATCGTGTATTTCCAAGCAATGACGTAACGAAGTAATCATATCACGTTCATCATTCAAAACAACGACATTTATCTATCACGATTAATTCTCTTTAATTTTATCAAATCAAGACGATTCTAGATTCCCATGTTTAGTGATATAACTAATGAATCCATACCACACAAAGATATGGTACATGTAAAAAGAATATCTGTTTTATTCGTCGATATACACTTTACGTTTCTCTTGTAAATTGTAAACAATTAGCAAAAGTAACGTAATGTTTTCGCTCTACGCTACAAAATGTTTTTTACGAGTATGTCAATATTGAAGTTCACATGAAAAACACAAAAGGAACGGGAATGTTCGATGATGGTTAGAAATTAGAATAGTACAAAGCGGTTTAAAGTAAAATTTGTAACTTCTTTATTCATAATTAAGAGTCGTTGAACCAGAAATCCAACTATCACAACGAGGTATAGCTTTCGTAATTTACACTATAACGGTAAATTTAAAGACAAATCTTTCTCTCTCTAACTCTCTCACGTACACTTGTTCTCTCTCCCTCCCCTTTTCTCACACTGTTCCTTTGTAAATACATGCGCAAGCGCAGTTACACAGCATCAAAGAAAAATGCAAATTTCCCCCCATTCATACACATATACAATCACACGTTCACACCGGAACGAAATAATGATTTAACCTGACATATACGCGAGAGATACACGATGCATTAATTGTCGGTTTATCTCGCGAAACTGGATAATGTATTTATACAACTCCTAGCGGACACGACACCCAACACTCGTGTGTCCTCTCACGATTTCTCGGCTGGCTAACAATGTCACCGTGAATCGATTAATATGCCGAGCCCGATTATCGTAAATGAATCAGACTATTATACCACTAAATCGGCACACACACACACACACGCGCGCGCGCGCACACATACATATGTACACACATTCTGTACAATGAATATACACGCGCATACAGCATTTGCAATGATCTCTAACAATCGACAGCGATATAAATAAACTATGTATCTAAATATACAGAGCGAACGGGAATCGTGTACTCTTTATTTTTTTTTATTTTGTAATTCCGCCAGCCAAAGCCTATCCAATACTTGGAAAGTCACAAAAGATGATTCATACTCGGTGTATCGTGCCTCGGAACGTAATCAAATTTTGTTTCGAGCCACGCGTATCGCTATTCACCTCCATCGCGACGAACCGCTCTACTTGTCGTGTTGGCCGTGTTAAAAACAAATAAAATGAGATCACTGTCCTTCGAATCGCGGTGTTCCAATACACGAGAGCCGTCTCATTCGTTGATAGATTTTCACGCGACTTATCATTCTTCTCTAATAGTAACTGGACCGTAAGAACCCCCCGAGCGACCCGGGCGAAAACGTCGCTAATACCTTATAGGATCATCGTTTCTCGTTCAAACACGTATTTATAGCTGAACTCAGCGCTAATATAAAAACTATAATCATACGAAGGAGGTAACAGATAGATCTTTATAGAAATCTGGAACTACTTGCATCTTACGTCAGAATTCGGAGGTTGACAACCCTCTTTTCTCCTCCCTTTAAACCGTTTACCGTGTGTAGTTTGCATCACTGTATGCCCTTAGGCCGATTGCACAACCACGAACATATTTTGGAATCGTTGGAACAAGTTAGAAAAGAGAAGAAAAAAGATGATCGCAAAATGGCCGACCACAGGATGAACCATCCGTAAGAATGCCCCTCCCCCTTCCTTTCCCCCCTGGTTAGTTTAAAAGCGAGAGGCACACAGGAACTCGTTTCTGTTCAAAAGAGAGACGAACCCGCAATTGTGGAACGACGAACGTTGCGACATAAATCGAGTCCGCGCGTTCGAATCGAGGCGGCCATAAGTCTTCCACGTAAGCCTCGTCAGCCGTCGATACGGCGGCGAGCATAGCCGAAGCCGCACGAAGTTGAACGCGAGACTACTTCGAACAACAACACATACCATATTTACAAACACGGCCATGTAAGGCGAGTTCTCGGTTAATTATGTTTACCTCGTTATACTTTCTTTCGGTGGCGCGTTTTGGTGTCGGCCAACCCGCGCGTGCCACTGCCTAACCGAAACAACACTATTTTGTTCATTTCGCGCGCGCGCGCGCATGCACACTGAAGGAAAAAGCCGAGGAATAACGAAAGTTTTGACCCTGATTCTTTTTTAAATCTCACACGCGCGTGTGTGTATTAACACACGGGCCGAGGTGGAACGAAACCGACCAGGTCGGATTTAGTTTCACAGCTCGAGCGGCTGGTACACCGGTGGCAACTGTTCGTCCTCGGAATCGTAGAAGTACGGTTTTCTCCTGTACACAGTCGAATGTTCGTCGTCCTCCTCCTCCTCCTCCTCCGAGTTCTCCAGTTCGCCGAGGTTCGCTTGCAGTCTCTTCACAGCCTCTTTGATCAGACCACCTTCCCTGAGCAATTCCTGTAGAAGCTCGTAGGGATCATCCTCCCTGTTGCTCGGTCTTTTCAGATGATGACCTATGTGATGACGATGATCGTGCGGCCCGGAACTCCTAGACCCGCACACCTCGCAGCTAGTGGGGTCTGCCCAGGACCTGGAGGGCACTTGGTAAGGCGAGGCCCGATTTTTGTGGCTGATGCTCGACTTGGCCTTTAAGCTGGACAACCGTAGGTTCTCTTTGATCCGTGAGACGAGGAGATCCACGTCGCGGGACAACAAGTCTTGCGTGGTGTCTGGCATCACCTCGATCAAGTATGTGGTCTCCTCGGCGCTCGGCATGTCGACTTTTCCCCGTTCGCCGGCTACGAGAACAAAAGGACAATGGCACGGACGGTGTTTACACCTCTGCTCGTCTACGATACGAACAAACAGCGGGCACAATAAAAGCCGCGCTTCTCGGTCAACGTGTGTGTTGGTACCCTCTCTTTCTCTTTTTTACTCTCTCTCTCTCTCTCTCTCTTTCTTTCTTTCTCTCTCTCTCTCTCTCTCTCTCTCGTTCTCTTTCCTGTTTACGCTCACATACGGGACACACGTTCTCGCGTCTCCCTTTTTTCCACGGAACGAGACACGCTCGTCTCCTCGCGTATGTAAACCGACAGGTAACTAAAGACGATCAACCGGCGTGCCACTGGCCCTCTCTAACGCTCCGCACACCTCAATGTTTACGAACATATTTGGGAACGCTCATGTAAACATGGATGACTTAAACTACCCACTTGCCACGTCCCGTAATCGTATAGAACGAAGCGTGATTCACTGGGTAAATACGCACGATGCGTTCCTCCCCCTCTATCGTCGGCTCTACACTTCTCTCAGACGTTGAACGAATCATCAACTTTTACTCCCGGGTAGAGCTTCGAGGAACTGAATGAGCGACACTTGATTTTTTTGTCGTCAACAACGAGATATATAACAGGAGGTTCGCGAGTGCGGCGATTATGCTTGGAACTTGTACACCTCTTCTAGTGTCACTTTTCTCCGATTTCCATTCCCTTGTTTACTCTCCAATATCGCCTCGGCCGTGTCGCACTCGGGCTCGAACGCACGTTGCACAACGATGCACGTTTTGACGCAAGCTGACTCCCGGACGGACGGACAACGTGTACGTTGAGAATGGAAGGGCACGAACGTGCGAGTATCGTCCGCGGTCACCACTGAACACCGATCAAATGACTCGGGAAAGATGCTCGGTTCGTTCGACGTTCCCTGGATTGGTTAACGCGTGCACACGCAATTTAGAAGGCGATTTAGAAGCGTTCGTACACCCAGAAGCGAGCGACCGCTCGACCGCCAGTCACGAACCTTCTACTCTCTTATTATTGTTTTGGTTCTGCGGCGCATGCGCAGTTCCCCCCTCGCCGTGTAAACAAACCGTTAACTCGTGAGCTCTAGCGAATCGATAATATGTACCTATGCCACTTCCTTGTTCCACGCTACCCTGTTCCCTAGACTCAGTGACTCTAATACCGGGCCCTGCAAGATGAAACGATTTTTATACCGCGGAAACGTTATCGCGACGTATCGTTCGATTTTCGAGCTGCGGAGATCTAAGGAATGGTCCTACTTCGATTTTCTCATACGCCAGGCCCGTTTTTAAAAGACATACTCTCTAGGCTCGAGCCTGGATGAAACGACAGGATCGCGACGGAGGGTTGCAGGGTGAAGGGAAAGAGAAGCTGCAATGTACGGATCAAGGTTACGCTCAAGCTCGTATTCACCTACGTCATCCTATGTCAAGTTTATCGTGCGTGCGCACACGCGTCCGATCTCGATTACCGCTCAAGATGTATGCGTTCGTACGCACATTTATCTTGCGCTTCACGAATCATTCATTACTCGAATCGGACGGCATCTAGTTCGATACTGATTCTGCGGAAATTACGAAATTCTAAGATCATATGTTACCGTAGAATGAAACCCATCAAATCTACCCATTACCGAGACATTCTCACTGTTATGAATTACTTAATACGGTACACATATAATGTTGCGTTAAATTTATTCTTGTGTTGGCATACCGCACAACATAATGAAATTATGTAATGATCAGTATGCACAGTCGGTATTAATACTGTAGCATATGTATATACACTGTATTGCGTCACTTGCCGATTTGTTTTACTATCTTTGATAAGTTAAGTAGGGAAACAATGCTTGCGTGTTTTTTATACTTTATTATTGCATTCTAAATTTGTTTCTTTTTTAAGATGGCCTATTTGTAAGTAGATGGCGCTACCGTGAAATTTGTCTCGAATCAGCTGATTGGAGCGTACCTACTTGAACGTAATATATGTGATGCGGCTTTCTATTGTTATCCGCTTTTTTATTTAACTGTTTATTGATAATCTGTCACGCGGAAAATTTAAAAAACTGAAACAAACGAAGCTTGTATTACCACGATCTACAATAATAACTATGTTCGGCCGTTTGTTTATGTCAAATTTTCGTAATATATCGGTAGGTACAAACCACGTTTACACGTATAATTAACCTCGTGTGAGTTACTTGATAATTGGGGAACTATTATCCGCCGGTTTCTTCATTAATATGATCACGTTAACCATTGAAACATTCTTACTTCCACGTTCGATGAAATTCCCATCGACATTACGTTCCCTGCAAATCTACAGCATTCAAAACAAATTATCTAATTGACCCATTGAGAATGCGTAAGATGAATAAAAAGAAAGTTTTGCAGCTGCTGTCGAGAGTATGGAATGGCCCTAATGGAACGTTGGCTGGTAAACAAGCTGAAGAAAAAATGATAGAGTTGTTAAGGAATAAATTTCCTAAAGCTCAGCTTATAGAAGTAAACGATGTTTCAGGTGAAAAGATGATCTAGATTTATCCTATGAGTACACTATGACTTAATGAACATTATATGGCCTATATTATTTGTTGACGAGTACATTTTATGGTAAAAAATTTGCTTTTATTTATACTCAACTTACTCTTGCAGGAGGATGTGGCGCAATGTTCGAAATAAGTGTTATTGCTCCTGAATTCGAAGGATTGAATACCGTTAAACAGCATCGGATGATAAATGAAGTAGATAACGTTTATTGATTAAAAAAAATTAATGTTTCATTGACTTTTATATTGTATGATATATGCTTTTGTAGGTACTTAAAGAGGAAATCAAAGATATGCATGGGATAAGGATATATACCAGCATTCCCAAATCATAGACAATTTTTAATTCTTTAGAGAGCTGTTCCTTACATTTATAGTTTTGTGTTGAAATTGTACAAAGTTTTGTAAATTTTGCATATATGTGTAACTTAAATGCTAAATACAAATAATGATTATATATTATAGAAATGTATGACCCTTTTAACATTTTACTCTGTTATGCTATGCTTTACATAATTGATAATCTCTAATTTTGGTGTTATTATTAAAATTGAACAATTATGATCATCTATAGTTCAAATATTTGTTGGAGAAGATGTATTAAGTCTATTCATTTGTAATTAAATATTTATTTTATCAGTATTTATAATTATATAATACTTTTATAAGTACTTATTAATAAGTAAAATACTAATAAAATATATATATATATATCGCTATCGCATTACAACAATTGTTATATCAATAAACGGTGAAACCTTACAAACAAAATTTGTAATAATTTTGAACAAGTAACATTAAAAGCATATTTTATCGAAGCTAGATTATGTTTTAATTAATTTGTTTTGCAACAGTATTGAAGCATAACATCCTTTAGAAATATATGTACAATAATTACAAACTTAGTAAAACAGTAAATTAGTAGGAAAAATAAATTATGGCTCCTATCTTAATATTTCTAATTAATTACTGCTTTTTAATGCATCGATTTTACATCACAGAATTCTGCACTTTTTATGATTTATGAATTTTGAAAGGAAGTAGTTCATGAAACGCTATAGCCATCTAGTGGTCAATGAGTGAAATTAAACCAAAATATATCAAATACACATAAATCGTATTGAAATATTTCTATTTTTAATTATATCAAACTTTTTATTATGATTTTTTTAAAGTAATTATCATTAAATTTTAAATATTGGAATGTGCTTCTTACGGACTACGAATTTGTTATCAAATTCACTCGTTAAACGCGTATAAGACAATATGGTATTACTGTTTCTATTTAAAACGTGATACATATAAAAACGTAAACCATTGTTTTCAGATAATGACCTTTAATCCCACTGTGAAATTTTAGGTTTATTGATTAGGTATATCAATAAATGCCTGTTTTTAGTTTGAAGAAAAGCATCAACTAAAGTGAAACCAATATTATTAGTCAGAAGTAACCATCCGGTTCATCTCTTTAAATATGAATTGTTTAACTGGAGAAAACGATAGACTTATTAATAATGATATGTTACTATGTACTGCTCCAAATCCTTCGTCTATTCACGAGTACCGAACTGCTCGATCAGGTATATTACATATAATTTTGCAATTTGTTTTTAATTCATTCTTAAGTATGCTGTTATATCACACTAATATGTAAAATATATTTAGTATTTTTTATTGCATATAATTACTATTTACTTTTAATAGTCATGTAATTATGTTTTTTTATATTAAATTGAAAATAATTATTTGTCCCTTTAAAACGGTTACTATAAAAATGATAAAAAATTAATTTCTGATAGAATATTGTAATTTTTAAAATAACACAAATTTTTATATTTGCAGGGACTGGTATACTAGGCACAACTTTTTTAATTGTTAATGCTACCTTAGGAGCAGGTCTTTTAAATTTTCCCCAAGCATTTGATAAAGCTGGCGGCATAGCTACTTCTTTTATCACGCAACTTGTACTTCTTGTTTTTATTACTGCTGCTCTTGTGATTTTAGCAAAATGTAGTGATATTACGAATAGTTCTACTATGCAGAACATGTTCGCAGAATTTTATGGCCATAGATCACTTTTTTTATGTGCTTTGTGTATTACAATATACAGTTTTGGTTGTTGTTTGACATTTATAATCATCGTTGGAGACCAATTTGATAGAGTTTTAGTGACATATTATGGGATTCATTATTGTCACACTTGGTAATTAAAAAAATCTTATGTGTCATAAACTACAACTCATGATTACATTATCTTTGTACATAAATTTTAATGTTACAGGTATTTATCGAGACCATTTCTTACAGCTATAGCGTGCAGTGTATTTATACTGCCTTTATGCTTTTTTAAGAAATTGGATGTTTTAAGTTATGCTAGTTCTGTCGGTTGCATAACTATCTTATATGTGATATGTTTAATTGTGTATAAAAGCATCACAATAACCATACCTAATACAAATCCTATAAAGATATGGTCAGATAATCCATATGAAGCACTCCAAATAATTCCAATAATATGCTTTGCGTACCAGGTATTATATATTTTTAAATAGTACATGTATCTTTAATAATTTTTTATTTCATTTACAGAGTCACATGACAGCAATACCAATGTATGCTTGTATGAAAGATCGAAGTCTCGGAAAGTTTACGGTAAGCGCTGTAACAAGTATGATTATTTGTTTCGTTGCTTATACAGTGGTTGGCATCTTTGGATATGCAACATTTGGTGCTGGAAAAGTACCTAGCGATATACTACAAGGATACACAGACAAAAGCCTCAGTTTAACTTTGGCAATAATATTTATAGCAATTAAAAATTTTACTACATATCCCATTGTTCTGTATTGCGGTCGCGATGCTCTTTTAAATCTTTTAAGAATGGATATCGATGTAACTGTTAAAACTCGGGTTTTTATTACATTAATTTGGTATATATTATCTTTAATAATTGCAATATTGGTACCAGATATTTCACCCGTTATTAATTTACTAGGAGTGTTGTCGGCAGCTTTCATTTTTATTTTCCCAGGCATTTGCTTGTTCCAAAGTACTCTTTTAAAAGATTCAGAATTGCATCTAAATAAAGACCGGCTTTTAATTATTTTCGCAATTTTTCTTACCGGACTTGGCGCGTTTGTATCTGGTGTTGTTTTGGTAGAATCTATTGAAGACTTAAATCAGAAACCAGAAGAACCACCACTAGTAACTGGTTTTAGACAACTTAGACAAAGTTTATGCCTTTAATAATTATAAAATAATTTTTTGAGTACTATTATCTTGTTGCTTGCTCAATGTGTTACAAGACTTAAAAGACTTTTATATTTTGGCAACTACATTGACTGATTATAACATAAGGTAATTTTAATTAGAATATTAAAGTAAAAAAAACTGAGGGAGAACGATATATACACATAGTGTTTAATACAATACTCACTACATGATCTTGTAGGAAATTTTTAGAAACTTAAATTTAATTGTTTATTTTTATATTGTATACTTTGGAACGGAGAATAACATTAAATAAATAAAGTTTTGCGTAATATTTTATACAAATTTTTTTTTCTTTAAGATTTTTTGTAACCTTCACAAAGAAATTTATTCCTAAGTTTCTCTTCACGGTAAAATATACTCGTCGATGTGTTAAGATGATTCCATCATTTCCTTAGAGTTTGAACTTTCATTGCTAAAATCATGCAGTACATTACCAGAAAGATCCACAACTTTCTCGATAATTGCCTTGCAAAAAAAGCATTCTCTTGTATCTAAAAGATGTCGTTGAATACAAATGCGACAAGTTTGATGATGACAGGGCTTAAATGTTACTTCTACAGGATAGGCGTAACAAATTGGACAAGTATTGTCATCATCACTCAAAACGTTTGGTTCGGGCAAAATAGTTTGACAGTAATTTAAATATTCAATCATTTCTTTCACCTTCTTTATTTCTTCTTTTGTTACATCATCTGGATCTGGAATAGATAAAAAGGATGGTAATTTACTGCATATTGAAACATTCATAATAATTATATGTATACACTCACAGTTTTCAAATGAAAATGGCTGTGAGTTTTGCTTGTCTTTGCTTTTAGATTGAATACCACCCACTACAAAATAGAGGGAACACATTTGAAAATTGGGTTCCATTAATAATGTTTGAGTGACCTTTGGTATCTCTTTTACAGTTTTTGCTAATGAAATTACAGTTTAAGTTTAATATGGTTACATTTACAATTTTTGTTGCAGTCAAAGGTATTAATATGTGCTTACATTTAAAGTTGGTCATATCTTCACTTAGTAGAGCCAACAGTATACCAATAACTGCTGCTAATATTGGAAAGTGATGAACCGTTTCTAAATCTGGGATTTCCAGTAAAATGACTTGTTGAAAACAACTAGTTTGTGAACTTATTCTATTCAATATTTGACTCGCTAACTGCAAAACAATACAGCCATAATTAAAAATTCAGACAATCTCAGAGATACTAATGCATGAAAATACATACTTGACATAATCTAGACAACAAATTTTCACTGGAAGACTGAGTAGTATTATTAAAAATACTTAAAGCCAGTGTAACAATCATCTCTAAAACACGTAATAAGGACACGGTTATATTGAAGCATGTGGTACAGATTTTCAGTTGTTTAGATTTAATGAAGACTCTCTCAGGTCTTGATGAACCGTTATGAATTTCTTGCACCATTGCAATGAAGTCGGAAAAAGCCCAATTCAATTCGTTTAATAAACCACTTAAAAATTTGGCAGATCGGGCATTTGTCAATAGTACTTCTTTCACATGATTTTGGTATACAATGGACGGACAAGGTTCTACAAAATCGGAAATATAATAGATTCGTGAATGAATCAATACCTTATTAATCGATATAGCTTGTAGAAGAAATAAGAGTTACGTACTCATAGGGTGAGAGAATGTTTCTTCCTGTACTAGTTTCAATCCAACCCTTTTTGGAAAATGCGAAATTTTTTCATATCGAAAAGCAAAACCATTACCCTGCCAAAATCTAAGTAAGATCCAATTTGATTCGGCCCATGCTCGGTCTTCGTACGATTTTAACAAGTTTGTGACAACTTTTATTCTACTTCCTCTCTGTATATTTTCTAATGCTTCTAATGTTAGCGGGTTAAATACAAAACCGGCTAGAGTTACAAGTAACTTGCTTTTCGAATTTACATTTATTATACGTGGATCCATGAAATGTTCGCAAAGAAACTCGGCTATGTCTTGAAGCATTTCTTGATAATCAGGAATATTTTCGATGCGTACAGTTGGATGCATATGATCCCGTAAACTAATACATAAATCGGCTAGTGCTTCGAGAAAGAAATCCGGTGTAAATCTAAATAAGTTTCCTTCTTTGCTGGCATTTTTTAGGGTCAGCGTGATCACCCGTAACAGCCACGCCAATTGTGATTGTTTTTCTCTTGAGTAAATAGATGCACGAACCCACGCCATAAATCTCGCTTGTTCCGTCAAGTTAGAGCTGAATACATTTATTGTTCTTTGTAGTTCTTGTTGAATTGATTGTGACTCAGGATCTTTATTTTTCTTGATTTGTTCCAGTCGTGTTTTAGTGTCTTTTAAGGCAGAGATATATTCGAACATTTTACTTCTGAGAATAGTCAGATTTACAGAGTATTCCTTTGCTACGGTGTGGTAAAATAAAATAATTCTGTCAAGCAATTCAAGCAAAGATAAAGTTGGGTCCAACGGGCCTAAGGGCAGTGGACTTTTATCTTCTCTTCCATGTATAAAGTCTCCGAGTCTCTCAATGTTTACCAAATGTCCTTGACCGAACGATCCAATATTAATTACAGGTGCAAGCGTTGGAAGAACTACAGTGAGAGCTTCATGATCAGGTCCTAATTGTTCTACCAGTTCGCTTCTGTACATTTTAGTTAAGTGTGATAAAACTCCTCCCAGTCTTTCAGTTTTATTGTAATCGATCGATGCATCATAGAACACCCTGCCCATTTCAATTTATAATGAAACGCTATTATTCATATTAAATGTGACCTAATAATGTTTATACAAACATATGTATGTACATGAAGTAACAGTTATTTCATGTCTTTTTCACATTTTTATGATGTCATATATTTCCAATAGCTTATTTTATAGAAATATATGAATATAAAATGTATGATACATTGCTCTCTCACCTGCAAGGAAAGTAAACAGGAGACGTCCCTACTTCTGTATCCCACAGTGTTCTAAATGTAACTAATAGCCGATAAAAATAAGATAATACAATCCGTACAGGTGTCTGAAATATTGATTTTTATTCATATGAAATAATTAAAAATGATAACTTTGTATAAAACAGTACAAAAATTGTAAATTTGTGTGCTTTTTATACTTACGCGACTAGAATCGAAATTGTCTTGAACGAAACGTTTAAATTTTCTTAGGAATATAGTTCTTGAGGTTGGTCTCTTTTCATTACCATCGGAATTATCAAGAACGATTATTAGTAATTTCATTTGTACTGCTTCTACTTCTACGAAATTGTATTCCATAATAATGACACATACATAAAAACTATATAACCACATGGAAAATGTATTATACCAGATATGGCAGCTTTAATTTTATCACATGCATCCAAGTAACTTGTTCTGTTTGCTTTGAGCATTGGATCCTCCGGATGCATTTCCCACCATATTTTTTCAACTACATCAATAAGGCCTTTCTCATCTAGTGACTTGACATCCATGAAATCTGCAAACCTTACTCGATCAAAAAGCAAATGTTGCAATAAATACTGACGGGTTGAAATATGCTGACAAATCTTTGTCAATAGAAGCAAACTTCGAAATTGGTCAGGATAGTCCAACGTCGAAGAAACGTGTTTGAATATATAAAGCAAATACAAGACAGTACTTTCTAGAAAAGCTTTCATTTCATGTTCTTCAAGAAACGTCCATAACAAATCTAAACATGTTGATAACATAGAAGAATGTACTGAATCTTGCCCTGAATGAACATTTGATTCTGAAAGTTGTTCCATGAATGGAACCACGATATATTCCGTAATATATGGTGTAGTAATTAGAGGTCCTACATGTTTTAAAATAGATCTTGAGAGACACATTAAAAAGTTTGAAATGCTCATATTTCCATCGCTTAACATATTCTGTTCATCTAAGTTTTGTTCCTTGTTCATCATTTGTATTATTCTGAGAAACCATCTGAACAAATAAGTAGCCTCAGTTATTTGTTCTTGAGGAGCAGCTTGTAGCGGTTCATATCCTTCTATAGGATATCTCAGTGGTGTGGAACCAAAATTTGCCATTAAATTTTCCCTTAATGCAAGACTGACTGTTGGAAAATATGCGAAGCCAGCACCCATTGCAATATTTTCAAAAGCTCTTCCTAGGTTTTTACCATTTCTATAGAAGTCAACAGTTCCATTGTCCATATCTAATGCACATCCAATAATGTCTCCTGTAAGCCATGATTCTCCATATTTGTGAGTAGTTACGTTCCACTTTCTCAGACGATTTCCATCATAGGCATATGAATTAATGGTATCCCCTGAAAAACATCTTACAAAATTATATTTCTTTCAAGATAAATGAAGTTTCTCATATCAATTAATTAAGGACAAAACTAAGACGTAACATACCTACACCAGATGTTTGATTAAATTGGCAGTTAATAGTACTCCAACCAAGTTGCATAACTCCTTGGGATCCAAGTTGCAATTCATATAACCATTTTCCTTTATAAACAGTTACATTTGCTCTCAATGTGCTGAAGTTACTTTTGGAATTGACAGTAAGTTTATCAGGTGAAATTATAAAATCTTCTTGAATATTTGACGTATCAAATCTGACCAAATTTGGACCTATTCTACCAATTCTCTTATCCTCCCTAAGACGAATCGGAGCATTTTTATGAAGTGTAGCTTCGATGTATTTATCTACCGAAGTTAAAGCATTGAATATTCTAAAATATGAAAATATTTAAAATACGTTTAGAGTCACATTATTAAAATAATCATTGCAAAGAAAGTAATAGTAGTAAAGTACCTAGAGCCCTTTGAACTTTCCTCTTTTAGCTTTGTACTTGGCAAATCTAAGAGCACATCCTGACTAAAAATGTTTTTTATAATTTCATTCATTTCCATATTTACAAATGTATATCCTTTGTCAGCACAGAAAATAGTTCAAAGAAATAATTTGCAAAATTTTGACAATTTATTTATTTAGAAGAATTTGTTCATGGGATTTGAATAAAGTACAACGATTTTCTTTGATTAACCAATAGTGTATTTTAAATATAGAAGGTCTAACAGTCTTCAACATATTTTTTTTCTTTACTTGTTTAATTTGCCGATCTGTAAATAATACGGCCATTCAAATACTAATAAAGACAATCGAGAAGCATGCATAAAAACAATTTAAACTGAAACAGAAATTCGAAGAAGAGATACGAAATTGTGAAACTGGAAACTGGAATTATCGAAATTTATTAATCCTTGACAAATACTTACGTAAGCCTCTGAAGAGTGCAACAACACGTGCATCAGCGGACATCAGCTGATCTGTCATCCACGATAATAATATGGAGTGTTCCTACAGATGTGAAGCTCGTCGAAATCTTCAATATTCGTATAAATATCTATATTCGCGATTTTTGAAACACCACTTAGAGACGGTGGAGTCGATTCTTTGAAACATATATTTTTATCACATTCTATGGAATATCATAAAAGATAGAGTCTGTACGCAAAGAATCGGGTTCACAAATTTTATAGGAAAAATACCTAATTATATATAAATTTAGTTTTTTAAATTTCTAATCTGAACATTCTTGGCGACTATAAGCATTCAGCAATTATAAATATGATTGAATGTAATTCTGTGACAAATATGCAATTCTTAAACATCAACATTGACATATAATGTAGACAACAACGAATATTAAACAAAATATGCTATTTGATATTTGAATTTCGATATTACGGAGATAAGAGATATCTATGTTCACGACGCGATGATACGGTAGTACATTGGATATAAACAAATCTTCGTAACCTAAAATTCTAATTGCTATAGAACACTTTATTACGTCTTACAAATTTAATCTATAAATGAATTGTACACTGTTGAATATTAATCATTCCTTCATGGCACAAAATATTTGGAAGGAAACTGATTTGAATTATTTATCATGTATTTTTACTTTTTCTCGTAGAAATGACGAAAGTAGATTTTTGTAAGATTTCAAAGTAATGACTTTAAAATTTCGGCATCAATAAAAATATATACAAAAACATTTAAGTGATCGATCACACGATGAAAAGAAGGGAATGGAGATTTACCTACCGTGGATTACAAAATTGTTAGAAATCGAACGGCCGATGCAGCCTGCAAGTTTCTTTATTGAATATCAATAAGAAGTAAATTGTAACGGAAAATCATAAATTTCAAATTAGGCTTCATGTATGTACTCAATGGATAAAAGTCGACGCAAATACGCAACAAGGTTAAATTACGCGTTAAATTGCACCAAATTTTTGGGAAAGTAACAATTCACTATAAAGTGTAGGCAAAGAATGGTAAAAAAAGAAAGAATGCAACTACTGGGGCATGAATCGTAAGAAAGAGAAAAGAAAAACTCAGAAACGCATCGTATGAAATCGAGGTTTCGCAGCATTCTTTCGAACGAATAATACGACAGAATCGAGAAGGGGGCGCGAATTTCAAAAGTTTTGCTTTGGTATTCATATTTGCGCTGGGTACAGTGCGGTTATATTCATACTAATATTGGATCGGTAATTGGTATCGATAAAAGGTTGTCACGCCAGTGGATAATTGCGATCGAACACGTGGATATCGGTATACTCGAATCATGATTTAGTCGCATCGGAGACATCGGCGGTGTTCATCCTTTCAAAATATTAGTTGCGGAATATTCTCTCGGCGGATAGTATTCGGGATACTGTATGCATATTATTTGATAAACGAGTATAATGTTTTTAGTCGGTTACAGGGAAGGGCATGAATACGTCGACACGTTTACATATTAGACTTTTTCCTATTTCGTTGAATTTCAATAGCAGAATAATCGGCGCCTAACTAAGAGACATAGACGTCGAACTGTTAAATACTTGCGTATGCGCGGCGCGCCATCACACGTTTATTTATTTTTCTGAATATATCGAACATCATCGTCGCATTATTAGAAATGATCAGGGATGTCTCGGAACGCGTCAGAGCGTCTATGATGATAAACGGGATCGGCGTCCCAAAAAATGCTCTCGCTCTTTCTCTCCCTTTCACTCGCTCATTCATTCATTATTAATCGTACGAAAGAAACTTCTTAAAAAAAGGCTTGTTTTCGAAAGTCATGCTCGCTCGCATGCGTATTAAAGGAACATCGAACACGTTTGTCGTAAATATTCTCGTACAGAGATACACATTCAGAAGAAATATCCCGTTTTGTAATAAATTACACGTTTTATCCACCGTACAAAAATCATTGTCGCATTGTTGTTCTCTCTCTATCTCACTCCCTCCTTCTTTCTCTCTTTCTCTCTCTCTCTATCTCACTCCCTCCTTCTTTCTCT